GCCCGAGAACCTCAACTGATCCATGCGCTGGACACCAGTAATCCACACTTGCGGAGCCCCCGTTGCCATCACTGATCTTGCCATGTGTAATCCAGTTGAAATGGGGGAAATTCCTCTTCAAGCACCTGATTCAAACACATTCTCAGGTATAGCGACTCCTCTGCTGTGGAAACTCACATGTCGTGCAAGAGCTGTTTGCTTGGATCTACAAGATATGTCTAACTCCACTGCCACAGAAGTTCTCGTAGAATTGATGAATAGCCTGCATTGCTGCACAGTTGGTGAATCGTCGAGGCGGCCTCGACGAGGCCCCCATCGATATCCCGGAGAATCCTGCAGAATTGTTCCAGAGCACGTGGGAAGCTCCTTCTCTTGCCTGTGAACAGATTCATCTTCCGGGGACAACTGATTTGCTAAGGCCATTGAGTGTAGACAGCTCGGATTCCGCAATACCCTTAGAGTGCTTAAGAATCAGTGCGATATTTGCAAAAGTGGTTAGCACTCTCTCAACTTATCTATGTCAACTATATGTATTGGTAGCCCGAGGGATGCCCTTGCGTGGCAATGTCCAATGAATTCTTTCTCGCCACTTTCCTCTAGAAGTCGGCTCTGGCGTACCATAGAGAGAGTTTGTCTTCAAATGAAGACAAGACAACTCACTGAAAAGTCCTCCACCGAAGTCCATCCTTCGAGTTTTAGCTTGGTCCTCGCTAAAACCGAGAGTATCTCTGTTGGTCCAACAGTGTTGGAGGTGAGCAGTGCTGAAGTTGTGGAACCAAAGGGGATTGATGATACGAATCTCGTCCTGAGCTCATGGAATCTTCGGAAGTAACTTCTGGATGGTATGTGCGGACGCATGATGCTTTACACGCCGTGTAATACACGGGACACTTCATGACATAGTCTACCGAGTAGGCGGGCTTTGACAGGATCTTGTATCCAACTGCTTTTCGATCCGGGAATGGATAAGACAAGTGGAGTCGTCTGAGCTCGCACAGTCACCTACAACATTCGAAACCCAGTCGACCTAGCCAAGGCCGTGTCCCTTCAACTTGTTGCGGAACAATACTCACCTCGTGGGCAACAAGCTCCGGGAAGAAACGTGATAGTCGCGACAATTCCTGTATCGAAGGGGAACTGAATACAACAACAGTCATAAACTCAAGTGACTCCCTCTTAAAATTCTTATACACCAGAGACATATAATCTGTATCAGAAGATACTCCCTTATACGCGCCAGAGCCACCAAATCTCACTATCCCTCAGCCTAAGTGCGGCTTCGCATAAGCTGCAAATAAGCGCGATGAGACCGTGGGGATCTGGGATCCTAGGTCTACCAGCCGAGTAAATAAGCACCCGACCATTTTAGGGTCTCCCAAATACTCACGGTTACGCACACCTGTTGAGAAAACCTTTCTCAGATGACGAAGTATGAACGAGCTGAACTTCCAATAAACCTCACCAAGATTTAGGCCCGCAATATCATCCATTGATAGTTCTTCTCGTAGATCGATGATGCGCTTCGATAATGCTCCTACGAGTGATACCGGCAGAGAACCCGATGTCTCATCCGATTGACAGGATGCAAGTGAAATTCACGCAGTGGATGTACAACTACAATGGTTCATCTGAATCCCAAGAGACCGGGTGAATGAGATTACCTCTAATGTACGCTTGACCGAAGACATTAGTCTACATACTTCATGTGGACCCAACAAAGAAATATGCTCCTCCACAGATAAGACGATATAAGTCTGAGTACCATCAATATTTGAACAGAGAAACGGTCCCTGAGCTCAGCTATGCTCCCCACTAGAGCTCGTCCGGAAGGAGAGTCCGGACTCCTCGATAGAATATCTTCACTCCGTCCCTGCAGAATCGCAGTAGCCAGGCATACCCATGTCACCTTCCATTCGCAGAAATCATAGATATTAATTTCTAGGCCGAGCCTCGCGGACATGCACCTAACCCAACCTCCTAGTGCAGAAGGGCCTTCGACGAAGACTCATAGCTTACTCCACAAAATCCGCGTCACACTCTTTGAAAGCTTCCAAAGCCATACCACAGTCCTCAGCTGACAGTCGAGTATTCGGGTCGTCAGTTAGAAGCCGTGAAAAAAATTCCAGCCAAGGCCTGGAGATGCTCTGCGTGAGACCTGATACAACAGGATAGACTCTGACGGCGCAAATGGTCACATCCAAAGGAAACTTACTAAGTTTGCTTTGAATGTAACCATTTGAGTTTAACTCACACTACCGAGACAACTTCGCAAGTCCATAGGCGACCCATGCAATCTGCTGCAGAGTTGTGAAAGACACCCTGCGTTTCGAATCGAAACTTTCGATACTCCGAGTACCTAATTCAGAGACTATGACATTGAAAGATTATGAATGCCGAGTGAAAAGCCGAGCAATAACTCACTCGGTTCTTCGCAGCTGTTATTATATCCTCAGCGACTCGAGCATGAGCCGAGTCCTTCGGCAATGTAAGGGGCCTCATGCGAGTCATCGCAGAGAAAACTTTAGAGAGGTCTAGACCTAACGAATATGGGAATACGAAAGCTGGATCATATTGGGTTATCCTGTGCCTAGCGGTTCGTGAGGAGGAGCACACCACACGATTAAGGCGCATGAGAGACGATTCCAATACCTCAGGTATTATACCTGTGAACGACGGGGTCTCCACCAAGTATTTGCAACGCTTCAGGTATTCCAACCACAAGAGACTGTTATAATATTTCTCGTTCGCAGTCGCTTCCATTGCTGCGGCCAGAACATGGTGCTCCATGCGACGCACCTAACAAGCTCCAACTCATTCGCGTTTCGGATCGAAGACAGACCTCAGACATATTCCGCTGATACCGCTGTAGAGGAGACCAATTCTGCGATCCACTCTCGGGATTGTCCCCGAAGGGCTAGCGCCGACCTCCGCAACTAGGCGCCATGCTGAAAAATCTCAGTCCCCTCATTGTTGGCATAAATGAGATTCCGATCAACAAAACCATTTTGAATTCAATTCATGCAGTATTAATTAGTATGAAGTATGAATCATACTTCGATTCAATAAATTCGAGTGAATTTCAATCAAATTCAAATCAAGTTAATTTCAGCTAGATAATATCTAGTAGATATCTGGTGAATTTCAAATAATTTTCAAGTAATCTTCAGTTGAATTTCGCGCGAATCGCGAGTAAATTTCAGGTGAATTTCAAGCGAATTTCGGGTAAATTTCAGGTGAACTTGAATGATCTTACAATGGAATTCATCTCATCAACACGAAGCAAGATAGTAGTTCTTGGAGGAAGAGTAAAGCCTTAGCTATCTGACTAGCAACAATCGAGTCATCCATAATGAGAAGCGACGAGGGTTAAGACACAAAGATAAGTTTTTGCCGCTCGCTTGTCTGGCGTCTGGAGCGAATACTCGGCGATACGCAGAGGGTACTCCACATCACAGAGTGCACCTCTGGCTTAGTTGAAGCTTCGTTAGCACTTCGACCAGACACAGGTTCGCGGCTAAGACTTAGTCGCTAAGTTTGGCAAGTTGCGCTCAATCCAAATGGCGAGGCGAAACAACGCGATTTCTCACTATATCAGCGGACAATGTCCGCCGGACATCCCCATGGGGCATAATGACACAACGGTCAAGGGTGTGATCGTATCTCCACAACTGGGCACGCAACGTGCTGCATCCCGTTGACCGGAGGTCGACTCCTATATTCCGTCATTGTGGTCTCAAATTAATTCGTGTATGGCTCACGAATTGACGCACTAATAGATCTGGGAAAGATCTGTGACAGTACCTGCAAGTGAATGCGAATAACATGTAAGAAAATTGCTATGTACTAAGAGGTTCAGCGCCAAATCCCACGTTTTAGTCATCTAGTCTAAGTCTGAGTTACCAACTGTGGAAGGAGACTACAGCAATTACTCATGCTGCTCCAAATCATTGAACCGCTAAATTTGAACGCAATGTCATCGGAGATGTGATGAAGTCTCACAGCCATGCAGAAGTCAAGAGGCAGGAAAATCGCTGGAGCTCATCTGCAATGCGCGGCTCTTTCCCAGCATCCGTTGAGTAGTCTCGTACTGCTTATCGAGTCTTTCAATTATCTCATCAACGAAATCATGATCGGGAGACGAATCCATAGTCGTAGAGACAATGTCCACCGTCGCTTCGACCGGTCCTATCCTATCGCCGTCGGCGGTCGGAGGTTCCTCCGTGACCGAACTCGCGTTAGGCCACTCGAGATTTCGCAGCCTCGCCTCAAGCTGGTCTAAGCGGGACTCGACCTGCTCTGAGAGCGTATCCACTTTCAGCTCAACAGAGCTAACTGCTCTGACGAGCCGTTCCATAGAATCGGACATGCAGTCCATCCCAACAGTTGGAGCATTCGGAGACGGCCGACTCCTTGCATCCTCAATAGAAAGTGAACTTTGGAGACAATTTGTTTTCGTCCTTTGAACCAAGGCAGGCTCGCCCGTTCTCTTAGTTGTCCTAAGGAGGAAGAATCGATTAGTACTGGATACTCGGAAATCCAAAGCGGGTGATAACCATTCTTGTCGGTTCAATGCAATAGAACGAAGTATTCACACTCAGTTCGCACCGCGGGATTGACTGCATTAGCTTCCCTCCTAGCTGCTTATCCAGTTTGAGAAGCTCCTCGGCCACCCGAGACGTCATGTCCAACTTTTTCAATAGAAAGCCGCTAGAGAAGAACTGCTGTAGTGTGATGCACGGGCTGATCTCGAGAACTTCCCGCATGAATTTGTAAACAATCTACAACAGCCATATTGACTTCGAGACTATTGATTCACTCACCTTCATAAACTCGAGATCCGACTTGTATGCTCCGAATTCTTCATATTTTCCGTGAATGTGCAGTGTTATTCGGGGTGACATGGTCAAGAAGAAGAAATGGTATATCCCTAGGAGATCTGTAGCCTTACCTACCAAGAAGAGTTCTTCTGATGAACTGATACAGTATTACATTCGCTCAAGAGTCTGTCATAGTATAAGTTATCAGGAGGTTCATGATGACATTTTCGGAGATGAGTTAGAAGCCTCATTGCTGCTTGTCGCACACGATATTGAGAATTCTTGAGGACGACCGGTGTTGACATTGTATCGTCAAATCACACAACTGAAGGCCTGACAACCGCCACAAAACCTCCGACACAACGAGAGGTCACCGAGGAATATACATCCAAGAGCAATCTAAGCTTCTTTCCCAGTAATGCTGACTTTAACTGCTTTGCTGCTGCGCTTTTTGCTCTATCCCCCAGCAGTCATGAGATGCCGCTTCAGTCGCCCTGAATAAGATTCCCCGGTGCAACATAGGTAATTCCGGAGGAAAAACGAGTATAGATTCGGGGAACACAAGCATAGAAATACCCTTGACGGTCCCGGGATACAGTCTCTCCTTGTGAGCAGCTCCAACATTCGACACTGGTTGAATCCTATATGTCTCTGCTCCAGATAGAGGCCGCGTGGCTAAGAAAGCAAGACACTTCGATTGTGAAAGAGTCCCCGTCATTGAATACCGTACCATCGAGAGCGATACCACGATTGGGAATCATTGCATGCCTCCTACTCTGGACCTTTTGCTGTTGCTGAGCTGTCAACCGTGGACCCTGAGTATTGCGAAGGTTCAAACACAGCGGAGAGCGTGAATGTGACCTTCTGCTATGGGATGGCTCACGAAGCCTGTCGCATATCCTCTGCAGTGGCTTTGATGTACCTCAAAGCAGGGAGCTAGTCCATACACAGTCGAAGCTATACCTCGATATATTCCCACGAGTTTCATTCCCTCGATTCTGAATCAGTTTGAGCCAATGCTGTATCAGCTGCTCCTCGACCACCTGAGAAATGACGCATGAAGTTGAAGCATTATCTCCCAAGTGGTCGCATGAACTTACAGTATTTTCAGTGGTCTCGTCTTTATGATAGTACATATCTTTCACTGCCCAGCCACGTACTTTAGTACGACAACTCTCTGGATCGTAGAGTGCGTTAGCACCTTTTCGATCAAATCCTGAGATCACACATCACGTTTCATGAAACACTGGATAAGCTGAAATTGTTAAAATTTGTCGGAATTCCCGCAAACGGAGAAAATCATTACGAACGAGTTCAGTAACTCGCAATGTCAAGCGCGATACTACTTCCGACTTCCTGCGGGCTATGGGACGGGGAGTTGACGGTAGCCCCTGGAGAGGAATCCATCTCCATAGGTAATAGCAGAGCCTTGTCTTGATACTGTTGACGATCGTCCAATGATGCTGCGCTTGCCCGTGCCTCCGGATATGATGTTCACTCGGGAGAAAAATATTTGACACTGGAGAACCGCAGGATATCCCACCAACTCAAACACGAGGCAAGAGAATGAAAGCGATTGGACGCTCGCCAATATCTAGATTATCTGATGGATAATTGAATTCCGCTTGATGATAATATAACTTGCAACACCCAACGAATGCCAAGTATACAGTATGATACTACCGTAAAACCGAGGCCAATAGTGCTACAACCATTGAATAAACTTGTGCGACAAGTAAACCATCACTCAGAAACCAGACCTTAAACTGAGACTGGGGCCACCAATTGATTCTACGTGCGAGAAACAACAAACGGGTCACCGAACATATCTAAGTGGCCATCCAGATGCCATTACGGGAACACAACTGGTGGAGGCTCTCGACAATCACAATCACGTTTGTTCCAGAAAGCACTTCCATAGGAACCGTAGAGCTCTTCGCCAGGATGTATATACCTGATGACCAAACCTACATGAAAGATACCCACGAGACTGCCCTACACTACCTTGTAGCTTTAACAACTAGCATTTCCACACCTGTAGCAGTGACAGATGTTGCGAGCGGAGATGCGGGAGTCCTCTTGCAGCTCCTAGTTGATCTCGGCTCAACGACCGATACCTCAATTGGGCAGAATTCAACATTGTTGAAGGATGAGCCAGAGCCACCCATATTGATTAGCTGACCAACATACATCCCCTTCATCAGACAAGTAAAGAGACCATCGACATATATGAGCTTATGCATGAGCGGGATACAATGAGAGGATAGTGCTCCACCGAAATTATCCTTCATCCAATGCCTCTGTGCCTCGGAAAATAAGTGCCCCGAATAAAGAGTAATTACTTCGTTCTTGTGAAAGCTCTTCATCGCGAAGACACCTCTACCGCCGCCGAATATCCGGGACCATCTTACCGTCAACGCCTCGTTGTCTCCGAGTGCATAAGCTTTCTGTAGGAGTAATTCGAGAGAACAAGTACGGCCACTGAGAATCAGTCTGGTATCATCATCTTCCGTAGAGCAGCAGTCTTTCCACGGTTGCGGGAAGTAGTTCGGTAACATGGTTTCACAAGCGTCATCGGCGTCATCCGTATATCGACAATAGGGGAGCTTATACTGCTCGAACCACTGTTCCTGTTCGAGATGAGGCATGAGACCACATAGTCTAGCTTTGTCCGGATGTACGAAGTACATATCTTGACTACCCACTACATCTCTGTCCTTCTTATGCCTTCCGTGTGTGCATGTTAGCTGCAGCTCAGCAGCAGTTGGAGCACACTCAGTTATCTCTGCTAGACTCCGTGATTCCCCATCGATCCACCCAACGAAAAACCGCATATCCCATCGTATCTTATCATCCCTTGTCGCCTCAGACTTGACAATAATCTTCCTGGCGAGATACTGCTCAGCTACATCCCTCAAAGCTTGGGAGTCAGCTGAGCCCGAGGTCTCTCCCTGGAAGTCTGGCATGGTCAGAGGACAACCCAACTCGGAAGTCGATGTCGTTGATTCAGTAGCGTCTTCCCGAGGAGGGATCGCCGGTGGCTCCTCGATAGAGCGCTTACGCTTCGGCGGCCTCCCTCGACGTCGACGTACGATAATCTCGGTTCCACTCAGAGAGGACGGCGGTGGAGGTTCAGACATGTGAGAAATACAGAGCTCACAAAATGCTGGATGAACCAGGCTCACTGATCATCGACGCTGGGTACTCGACATATTTGAAAGTTACAGGAGACTATTTTCATGGAGTCATGGAACGGTATCCCTAGCAACCCATTAACTTGCATGCGCCATGGCTTACCACCTTCGCCGCGATGAGATAGGTCCCGGTCCGGGACCGGGACCTTCTGTGCCACAGAAGGGGGCAATCGCGAGTTCTCCAAACGGGACGTTGGGACGGATGCATTTCCCATTACTGGAGGCCGACCCAATAAAGTATGTGGAAAAGCCGCCGAAGAGAGCTGAGTTCTGCACCTACAACTCACTCTAGACGGGCTCAGACGCTCAGCTGGATGTCCTGGACGCTACACTCGGGTACCTTCCTCGCTTCTTGGGATAATCGTGGTGCTTTCGACCGTAGACCATCGTGCTAGTGCTGACGACTGCGCTGCCAGCTATTGTCATTCTTTTGACAAGTTTTGTCGTTGCCCTCTACTGCGAGATCGACGACCTTGGCCTTGAAGCTCTTCCCAATAGAGGGAGCTACGGAAAGAGTTACTAGAGAATGATGACATACAAAACCACGCAGTAACTAACCCCTAACATTTCGCCATAGCCTTTACTCAATGAGGAGCAAGTCAGAAAATGCGGCACTATTGAAATATTAATGCTTCGTATCAAATCGTTGCTTCAAAGTCTGATAGTGCTCACGGAGCTGCTTCACCTGAGATAAGGAGAATACTCAGCGCTACAAGGCGTCCTCCAATGACCTACCGACATGAGCCTGAGCCCCAACGGTGGGTCCTCTCGGTTGGCTGTGTACACTTCTACTATTCGACCAATCAGCTCGTCCTTCCGGCCCGCGTCTTCTAAGGAGCTCCCTCGGGCGGAACTTCCAAGACCTGTTGGGGACATCTAGGTGAGATGGTCCTCCGCATCCCCTCCCCACCTCGAGTGCGATGTTGTTCCTCTCTCTGCTCTGCCGCTGCCGCTGCCCGCTCCCTTTTCTCGTCGGGGTCACTCGTCTTACCAATCACCTTAGATGGAGGGCCTAGGACAGTGGGTTTCCACTGACTCACCTGAGGCTGCAACGATGTGGTGGTGGTGTGGTATGGGACGGGCTGAAGAACGGGAGCCTCTGCACGCACAGGTGTGACGGCACCCTCGTCGTCCTCATACAGCTTGTAGGATGGACAGCATGCACTGACCATCACGAGAGAGCAGTCAGAGAGTCGCATCGCCACGCTGGCTCACCCTTTGATAGATCGTAAAGTGGTAGTACAACATGACGCGCATGAGTGGTAGGCCGACCCCAAGCATCCTGCCCTCTTGCCTGAAGGAGACGTTTTCTCGGGCATTGAGGAATAGCCTCAACCGGACGTAAAAGCCACGCTGAAAAACTAAAGACGAGATACAGTTCACTGACCGATGGAATCCCACCGACCATGAATGAACACGCAAAACAGAACATGCACTTGAAAATACATTTACATGGGCCCCCCTTCAATGGACACTAACTACGACCATACCGGTATCGATGGGCAGAGGGGCTTTCACAGATGACCATTGGGATGGCCATGTACTGCTACTCACTCAACCTTAGAGAAGACCTAGGACTACTACTTTCTACTAAACGGCCAGCAGGGCACTGCTAGACTGGTATACCACCACCAGTGCAGTAGTGCCCTGGTAGACAGAGGGACAGTATATGGCATGAGCAGTCGCACCTCAGTGAGCACCCCATTCCATGCAGGCCAGCTTCCATATCCTTAGACCCCCAAGCACACATGCTGGCAACACAGGCTTCGCAGCGTCCACTAGCATCCTCGAGAGAAGAGAGGGTGGGTGACGGAGACCCTAGGGCCACACCAACTGTCTAGGTCTTCGATACATAGGGACATGGGCAGGGCTCATCCTACACTCCCCAGTCTTGGGTGATAACGAAGAGTGAATATATAGTGAAGGGATAGAGCCATGTCGTAGGAGCATTATGGCTGTTCTTAGAGACACAATGAGATCTCAACTGCATAGGGACTATCCAACACAGACCCGGAGGGAGATTGAAAATCAATTATCACCTCGTCATCACGTTAGAACACAACAGCAGGGGGAGACGGTGGAGGAGGAGGGGCCGAGGGACTATGAGTCTCCATAGGATAGGGCTGGGCCATGCCATCACCGCCAACAACACTGCGCTGTATGAAGGGTGGCCCTGGTGACGGACCACCGTAGCCTTGGTGATACCCCGGATGAGCAGGGTAACCAGGACGACCAAAAGCTTGCTGTCTATAGTAGGCCGCCGTTCGACGAGCCCCCTCAGTTGCGGCTTCGTATATTTGCTGCTTATTGGCGTCCCATCTCTCACAATGACCTGACCACACAGTCGAGCATGCACCCCACGGCTAAAAGCTTGCTATAAGTCTAACCCAATGTACTAGAGAGGACTCGTCTGGCATTACTCGGCCGGAATGTGCCCATGGAAACCTAAAAATATTCCGCATTAGTACCTGTGGGCCTAGTCCGCACCATAGGGGGCAGCTCTGTGCACTCCAACGGGACATACCCCACCTTGATATCAGTCGATGCCCTCAGCGGCATCACCGCTTTCCCTGAGGAGTTGCTGCAACGGCTGCTACCCAGCAGTAGCATTGAGGCCCACCTTCCCTGAGTTTCGCTTCAAAATAGTTCGGCTGTATCGCGTTGATCCACCCGAGGAGTTGGCTAGCCGAGGGTGGATCGAAAACCTCCCCCAGCCACTCCCACCTATCGAGGTGACCTCCTACCTGGCCATGTCACAAGGCCCTACCTCTCAGTTATGGGGTTCCAAAACGCACGCACTAGGTCTTTCCTCGCCGCAGGGTCCGTGGGAGGCCTGGTGGGTGGTCCCATACCGCTGTAGGGGTTACCATCACTGGGCATACCATTCCAGTAGTCAGGATCGTGAGGATGTGCCCTTCGATGAAGCGACCGTAACTGAGCGAGCCCTTCCCTGGTACACAGCCAATGTTTATAGTGTGTTGAATTTAATCATGCCCAATACGAATCTTACGAAGAGCTGTACAGGAAGTTCCCATGCTACAGAGCACTACTGTTTCCTCTGTCGGATAAATGCCCTCGAGATGACCGAGTCGAACCCCTCCCCCCCCAGACGCCATACTACCGCAAAGAAGGGCACTGCAAATATGAATGCCCAGAGGGTGAATATTTGGAAGCCCGACATAGGCCTAGCCTCCCGCATCCATCGGGCCTTCTTCTCATCCATAGTCTCCTCCTCGTTGGCTCCCCTCGATCGTCCACTATACTGCTCATGATGTGGTGATTGCCGATGGTACGTGTGGTGATACCCCGCTGGCCCTTGTTGCATCCTAGTGTCGTATCTGCCCTAACTCACTACTCTCATGGTGAACCCAAGCGAGCCACTCCCTGGAACTTACTCCTTTCTAGTGGTGGGGTTGTGCAGTACATTATAAGCTCGAGTCACTTGGCGGAACTTCTCTGTGAAGGCATGATCTCCACCAGTCATATCGGGATGGTATCGCTTTGCCAGTTTTTTATACGCCATGTTGATCTCCACCCGAGTGGCCCTAAGGAGCCTCAAAAATACCCCTGCCTCGTCCTAGGAAGGCCCCTCACGTTTTCCTCACGCCTAGTATGTCATAGTAATCCGGTGCTCCATGATGCCCCGAGAAGCTTCGATGAGAATAAGTGGCATTCACTCGACAGCTTATACCGTGCACCCGGCTATACACATGGATTCGGGTCAAAGGCAAGAGCATCAGTTCCCAACGGCGGTCATCAATACAGAATCAACACAACCTGGATAGACCACTAGTGGTAGACTGGGAAGAAGGGCGATGAAGAGGGATAACAGGGCGGCGCGTTAGTTACAAATCCCCTAAGGTGTGCTTAGCGTACTGAGCTCATAGGGATCTGGCATTGCTCCTACTACTACTACTGGGCCATATCAATGAGCCGATACTACTCTTTTGAGGCCGTTGACATGCGATATTCCCACACACATCTAAGCCCACGAAGGTGCGCACAAGTCGTGCACGCCGTGACGCAAGATACGCCACGAAATTGCAGGCGGCGCTGGCGTTCACTTCTCTGTCGGGGTCCCGTTTCTCAAGCTGGCCTCCTCGAGAAGTGCAAAGCAATGATCCTTCTCCAGGGTGATTGCTTCCTAGTGACATATCTTCTACCCGAAAAAGGGCCTTCGCTTGGTACTATTATAAAAGTAAGTGTGCTGACCATGGCTCTTGCTGGGGCAAATATCGATTCGAGAAATCCAACGATGATTGAATTGATGCTAGTTAGAGACACCATCATCAACAGCAAGTAGACCCTAAATGAATGCTCATTGAAGCTCCCTGTTCACTTCAATGTTTCGATCTCAATGTCCAAAGGACAGTTCGAGGAAGATCCTTTTCTTACATTGCAGGCTCCTGATGCATTTGAATCCTGTCATTTGTCCATAAGCATTTGAATGCTTTTGAAATCATAGTGGATGCATTAGAATGTCGGACCGCTTATCAAAGGGAATGTCCACTGGGTTCTGCGCCCTGTGGCATGTTTTACTTTCTGTAGTGTTTTGCATAGCGTTTGCATCGTACGGTAGTAGCGACGAATACTAGTCTTGAGACAGTCCCCTGCCCTGGTGAATGGGATGACCAGTTTGAAAGGCTTCATACATCATCGGGCATCGCTCGTGATTGAGATTCTAGTGGCACTGAAGGATTCCTCCATGGGGACCATTAATCTTCGTGAATTCTTTGGACCCTAGGTCATACATTGGAATCTAGAGTCACTTTTATGCCTCTTAGAGTGTCTAAAAGCTTTCCTCCGGAGACTCCCTAGTATGAGTGTTTGATCGATCCGAATCGTTTGCACTGCAAAGGTTGCGATCGCGTTTTGATTGGAGCTCGTTTAGCGTTCTATCGTTGTTGAAACAATGTCGGCCCCTAACGCTATTGTGCCCGAACGGAAGAAGGTGGCCCCTTGGGGTACTCGGTGGTCTTCTGGAGTCTCCTGAGCAGGTTCGTGGTTATCTGGATGGTTGTTTTGACATCATGCATAGCGGTCATTATAGCGCCATGAGGCAGGCTAAGGGTAGCGAGTAGCGGTTCCTGCACTTAGAAGCATTCCTGTTCGTCAGCCCAATGTGACATTCTTGTCGTCGGTGTTTATGCCGACAAAGATATCGTGCCTGACAAGGCGTTACCAGTGATGAAACAAGAGGAGAGGTTGGTCCAGCATGGTCTCTGCGAATGGTGATTGCTATATGTAACAGATATTCATTTTTGAAGCATCTGAAGTGGGTTGATGAAGTCCTGTATGGAGTGCCTGTAGTGCCGACTAAGGCATTCTTGGATTCTATTGGGGTCGACTTTTGCGTATGTTGCCTAGGAGTGGGAGTAGCGTGGGATTAGTATTGTCAGATTCACGGCGATAACATGCCAGTGAATGGTAAGGGAAGATGTGCCTATGACGACCTTAGAGATGCTGGTAGACTTCGTGTTATCAAACGTAAGCTGCTGCTAGGCTCCGATCCCTCTACTGTCCACTCCTTCTTCTCCTCAGGCGTAGACTGCGTTACCGTGACTGATCTCGTAGGAAGACTCATGGTTCAAACTAGGGACCATCTGACTGGTCCCAGGATAGATGATGGTCTCGACATTCACACACGACAGATGTTGGTGGGGATAACAGCAGACTACTGCCGTGAACGGTTATGGCGTATTCTAAATCAGACACCCGGGAGTCCCATTTGTCGCGTCACCGATCTCGCTACCAACAGCATCGTGTCTAGCCCACGCATAATCTCTACTTCTCCTACGAGCAGTCGCAAGGTATCATTGGCTGTTGTAATGTACAGCGAATACAATCGGTTGTTCGTAGATTCTCATAACGAACATGGCCAAGCGCATCTCGGAATTTGCCTCACGCAAGACTCCAACAGCTGATGATGTCATTGTGTGAGTAACTCCTCTTCCTCTTCACGGAAGTTAGTGATTCTCCCTCTAGTTATATTGATGGGGCATTCGACATGTTCAATGCGGGCCATGCTTCCACTCTTGAGAAGGCCAAGGCTTATGGAACGTACGTGTTTCCTAGCCGCTTGTCCCTCTCATTGGAACCTGATCAAGGTACCTCATTGTGGGCGTCTTCGACGATCGTACTGTCAATGAGATGAAGGGCTGCAACTATCCTGTCATGAATCTAGGCGAGAGGGTAACTCGTTCGAAGGCTTATAATCGTTGATTTGGTGGCGAACAGGTTCTCAATGTCTGCGCCTGTAAGCATGTCGATGATGTTGTTATTGCAGCACCTTTGGAGGCTACTGAGGACTTCCTCAGGACCATCAATGCCAATCTCGTTGTGCAAGGATCCAAGAGTACGTTATCCACCCATCAGGCTCTGATGAGTATTTCTCCTCAGCTCTCCACCCATCAGCTGGAGTGCCCTGTGATGAGCGCGGAGTAAGATTTCGGCGCTGCATACTTCTATGACTTATCAATCGGTTTTTGTTATCGCGATTCTATGGTCTTGTGCAGGTCCATCAGAAGAATGATGTGCCCAAGAGGTTAGGTATATTCAAGGAGGTCGTCAGTGACTACCCTGCTCTTACCGTTACCACTATTGCTGAGAGGATTGCTCGCAATAGGATGCAGTAGGACTTAGCTTAGCTGCTCCTATTTACTCCCTCTCGTAGATACATCGCAGAACGACGCGAAAGATCAAAGTCGATGCAGTAGATTCCACGCCAACGACGAGGCCAATCGCTATTTTGATCTCCACCTCACTCGCTCAAGCTCAAGTGTTATAACCATAATCGCTCACCATATTAGAGAAAAATTTTGAGAAATCATGATAGATGTGTAGACCGCTTTTCTGAATTGAATTCCATTGTGTTGCGACGTGCAAGGACTTCTACCTTGCATTTACACGGTCAGTGGGTAAATAAGAGTAGACTGAAAATTCGCCTCGGATATTCTTAACCCGCGAGGACATTGTCGCTCGAATTCATCTACTCACACATAAATTTATCACATGGCATACACTATCGAGTTGAAGAGACAGTCAGGGGTGTAACCCTCGTTGGCTCGTACTGCCAGGTCGCCGACAACCCCGGATACGAAAAGGTGAAAGAATAGAGGCTATGAGGCATACAACATAACGAGTAGTGTAACACAAAGAACATAACCTCGAGTTTGGGGCTGTGCCGTCTGTGAACTGCCGCGACTTCCGGGGCTGTAACCTTACTGCTAATTACGAAACCATGGCGGCTCTTGATCGTGATGCAAACCTCGTGATGCAGACCCATGATGAAGCCAGCGTAACAGAGCAGCATACCGAACTCTCGAACTAATTCCTTATCTCTAACAAATCAAATCGCTCTGCTCTACCACGTTCGATTCGAAACAATTAATAACTCAGTATAAATACAGGATGGTTAGATCATCTAACTTCACTGCTCTCTAACTGTTCATGTAACTTATATGAACAGTGAAGGTCATCCTAAGGCCTCGACCCAAGTCCCTCCTCATCGTGAACTACACGCAAGACGGCATTACTAACGAGGACTATATTGGAAACGCGAATGTCACAGAGTTCTTCACGACACCAATAACTCAGGAGTTAGTTCCTCCACTTCTTGGAGGAGTTGTGTAGCCTGCTGTGACCATCCCTCCAAACGGAATTTGAGGAGCTCCAGCCTAACAACAGTAGCACTCGGCCGAACACAGTGGAGAATGAGAGCTCACCTCTGCATGTCGAGAACTCTTGGTCTCACCCAAGTGACTTTGACAGTACGATTAACTTCATCAATACTGCCTTTTATCAAACCAGCGCACATGGTCCTGAGGCAAGCAGCTCATCAGGATAGATGGACCAGGAAAACAGTTGACTTACTTGCGGAAAATATCCTCTACTTGGTCGTCTCCAACTCTGCATGCCTTCGCGATGTCATCAAAAGATATCGCCGAACGCTGTTTTTTGGGTCGTTGGAAAGCCATCTCCATCATAGCCGATAGAGACATCTTGTCTACAATACAGAATAGGGCAGGGATCAACGACCACACCCTTACGTTTGAGGTCGGTTTCGAGTGCTTTCTTGAGCTCTGGTACGGCCTCCCACTTCGCTTTGTGGTCCGCGATCGCTTGGTCAAATTTCGCAAAGACTCCATCGTGAAGAGCTTGGACGAAATCCATGACCCAAGAGTACTGCTCACAGGTCGGGAGGAACTGAGGGGACAATCCATACCTGCCAGGCTACCCTTCCTGCCAACCTCAGAGAAAAGTGGCTGCTGCAAGAGATCTCCGAGGCCGAACTCCTTGGGTGATATCAGGGCTGCTACTGCAATCTTGAAAGCTAACGGGCCACGCTCCTTCTCAGGGATAGCGGCTAGTGGAGTGTATAGCAGATACCGCATAGACTCACGGTAAAAACTGAGGGTAATGTTGTCACAGTCAAAGAGCGACAAACGCGGAGTACCTCGGGGGATCGTTCCTCTCTTGGTGCATGAAGGCGGCAGCCCTGTGGTAGCTGCTTCTAGCCGCAGGATCGATACCATATGACCAGTCTATGTCATTGAGGTGCTCTTCAACAGCATCTAATATCTAACCAAACAGTAGTTGGAAGCACACCAGGGGTGATCGGGCCCACCTCTCTAGCCTGCTTGATGTCGCCAGCTCTAACGAGAGCGATAGCTTTCTGAGAGTCGTATGCCACTTGGGAGTCCTTGGACGACTTGGAAGCCATCTCGCCATACCTGAGCGCACCACTGCTGGGAGGGCAATACCTGGGGGGAATATTACTTTTCTGTCAACTTCAAACCTTCAGAGGCTGGCATGGACTCAGTGACTTGCTCCAAGATCTCCAACATGACCACCTGCAAGAATGTAGGATAGAGCGCTGTAAGGACAGCAAGGAGACGGTACCGTGTTCATCTTGGTGGAGAACTGATCCATGAACTTATCCCAGAACTCAGCCTTAGTCTTGCCACCCAAAGGCCAGGCACTATCGTTGCGAACGACTCTGAATGGCGAGCTCAAACGGCCACCTTCTTCCCTCTTAATAGTACCTCAAGCACTCCACAGTAAGCTGATGATACAGCTTCTTGGCTGCACAGTCCCGCAGCTTGTCGAGGTCCTCCTCGGGTAGTTGACCTCGAAGTGAGTCGAGATATGATGTATCTGGAGGGTTGGACGATGACATTAGAACAACCAACAATAACTGCAGTTAACATACTCTCAAGGCTTGCAGGCAAACACGACACGAATAGTCAACTGTAATCGAAACGTTGGTGGTGAATGATGACTACCAGTCACTCGTCAGTCGCAGCTGCTACTGCCTCGTCGTCGTCATCATCAGGGGGGTCCATACAGAGGTCCGGCACATCACTCATTGTGTCTGAGTCCGATTCGGGCGTCTGTAGGATGTCTTCCGAGGGAGGAGGTGAACTTGAAGGTACCTGCCAGGGGAGGGGCGGGTCAACACCCAATCGATACCTGATGCAACCCACTTCGTCATCATCATCATCTTCACGAGTAACGGCAATAGCAGGAGTTACTGGTGACTCTACAACGGGCACTTGCACCTGACACAGTATAAGGGTATCCCCCGATGAGAGACCATTCGCTTACTGCCTCTTCCGCTGAAGGGCTGAGTGATGTAATGACTTTTCGTTCAATGGTATGGTCCTCATGAGCATCCACAGCCACTCCACCGATAGTAATACCGAACGGGTTGCCTGCAGTAGTGGTGGTACTACTGGGCTTCGCCTCCTCATGTTCTTGCTCAGTCCGAGGCTTCTTGTTATCAGCTTCCTCAGAGAGTTCCTCGTCTCGATGCCGTTTCAACGAGCTCATCAACGCCGTGGTAAACTCGTCACATACACTAGGACCGATCTTAGTGCTGGAGGACGCGGGGGCATGAGCCTTCAGAGTGGCGGGAACAGGCAAACCCCTACGATAGAGTAGCCCGGCTGCAGCCGCTCCCATGCCAGCCTCCGTTAAAAGGCCTCCACAGGCATGTAGTAGTGAAGTAGCCACGCTGAGATCCTCTTCATCAGAGCGCGCCTCCAACAAGATCCGCATAGCACTGCCAGCAACTTCCCCTAGGATCTCGGGGGCAGGCTGGGACAGGCGACAGAGGGTAGCCAATATGTTGGACGGGCCCAGCGAGAGGGCAACCTTGTGTAGACTTTGGTCGACCAGAGCCAGACTGGGATATGCAGTGATGAGACGGTCCAGATCCGAGGACAACAGGTTGGCAACCTCTGTGGGCATATCAGCGAGGCCCTCTAGGAGTGGCTGTACATGCCTCTTGACGAGAATAGTAGATAGAAGGCTGACGAAGCCAGTTCCAAGCTGGTCACATATGTCGTAGAGGAGGCCGACAGTCTGAGTGGCTAAGGAGCGAGCAAGGCCTGCATCAAAGGTCCTCTGACGAGCATGGAGGAGTAGAGCTCGAGTGCAGATGTGCTGAAACTTCATCAACTTCTTGAAGGGCAGTTCTTGACATTTACCGCAGCGCAATAGAGTCCTTACGAGCTGACAGACCTTCACCAAATGTTCGGGAGATGCCTTCTGCTTCACATTAACCTCACCAGAGAGGACGTCTACCAGGACCCCTGTGTGGGTGTCGGGACCAACGTCGCCAATCTTGGCTGCTGGCAAGGCGAGGATGACATTGCATGCCTCCATACGCAGTAGGGCGGCACTGTTATCATCGAGGACAAAAGGGACGAGCATGGTCATGAGGCGACCAGCTGTGGGTTTGTTGGGCTTGTACGTCCCTTTACGAAGGAGTATCGTAACCCCCTCTAGCACCTCAGGGGTAATGGCAGCTACTATAACTTCACTGTAGCCACCAGCCTGTAGTTTCTCCCACAGATCAATAACCTTGTTCAGTGCCTGCCCTTTGACCTTAGTGCTCTCCGCTGGCCCACTACTGAGGACCTCGAAAAGGGTCCTGATAGTGAGAGGGAGCAGCCTGAGATCGGAAGCTGTATCGGAGGTCAAGCCACGACATAGTGCCGAGACGGCGTTATCGAACGCTCCCATCAGGCGGGCGTCTGTCGCGTCCGCCAGCGCTCCAATGAGGACTAAGGCCGCCCCGCGCTGAGAAACGTCTTCGCTGCTAACAAGTGAAGTAATGCAATCATTCACGAGAGGTTGAGTTATGGTGGAGGAGGTGGCCGCCTTACGTACGGCCCTTGGGTCAAGGCGAGGACCGTAGTCACTGAGGAGATCAGAGAGAGTAGAGACGGTAGCAGTTGTTGAAGTCATTGAGAAACCTCAACTGGAAGCCACATGGCTGCGGAATGTGAAACAGTTGGCTTCTCGCCACTGGAGCGAATACAACTTAGCAAAAGCTCAATCCTAAAGCGAAGGTTACTACACTAATGAGTACTACGAGAATGTCCACGACCTCGCCTTCCTCCAACGTGAGTCAACGATGGTTTGATACTGAGAAACCACAAGAGGTTCGAGAGAGCAAGATCTGAAATACTCCGGTTGTCTCACGCCTTGACCGTGAAGTCGTCAGCCCCCATAAATCTCTACGCATCAGCGTCGCGTGGGGGTGACCGGGTTCTCCGGCACCAAGTAGAGATCAACCCTACCACTCTAGCACGTCCCCCTATGCGGTGACCAAGAAGTGGCTAGAATCAACTGCTTAACACCTTCAACACGACGCTGGCTCGTACTGGTCGTCTTACACTGATCTCTATTTTCTCTCAACTACTTCACTCCTCCTCGCTTTCGTCTATTACGTCGGTTAACTATCCCCCTTCTTCCTCCCTCACTTTTGAATGCCCCGACTCCCCGTTATCACCCCTCCAGCGCCTCCGCTACGCCCAGAGAACTGCCCCCGAGGACGAATTCAGATTTCTTTTGTGTAGTTGAATCTGTGGCTCGAGATCGATGTCCCTATCCGCGAAATTTATTTTTCCGCATTCGACCACCACGACTAAATTGATTTGTCCCATTTACGAATGTAGTTCCCTTATCTGCGTCCTTGGTGGTTTTTACTACGAAATTGATTTCTGAGCGGTATAGTAGAAAGAGTTGTGCGTTGGATGGAGTTGAACGGTCATTTTGGGATAGTCTCTGGGGGGTGATGGACCGATTAAGAGATTTTTCAATGTCAATGAGTTCATCCGAGGACGTCAGGGCAAGAGTAGAGGATGTCAGTGCGGAGTTGTGCAAAGTCGAGAGGTCCCTTTCAAAGGGAGAAGAGTAATAGGGGTTGACGGTGTAAAGGCCGCCGAGGGAGTGTTGAAGGGGTTGGGTCATTTACAGGTATCTGTTTCTCAAGGGTAAGCTGTTGGAGGAGTACAGGGATTTGGTTCAAGACAAACTGATCATTTTGAAGGCATGGGAGGACAGGAACTGGAGTGTCTGTCGCGATGCTCCTGTCATTACTCGAAGTCTTGTCGAGGGGCCTGCCACCAGTGGTGACATCGAGGGGCCTACCGCCAGTGGTGAGGTCGAGAGGCCAACCACCAGTGGTGAGGTCGAGGGGCCAACCACCAGTGGTGAGGTCGAGGGGCCAACCACCAGTGGTGAGGTCGAGGGGCCAACCACCAGTGGTGAGGTCGAGGGGCCTACCACCGATAGCGAAGTTGGGAAGGCTACCACCCCTGGTGGAGCTGATGCTGTTATTGCTGAGGAGTCCGTTAATGATGAACTGATCAAGGATGATGTAGTGACGGATGGTCTGCCTGTCACCACACCGGTCAGCGAACCCGATGAGGCGGCATCTGCAGAGGTCGAAGGAAAAGATGGAGTGATCCCTGGTATGAGTTTGTTGACAGGCTTCGGGATCTTCCTCATGAAAAGGTTATCGCATCTCAGGTGCAATATCCCTCACCGTTGAGACGGTTGAGGGCTCCGCTGCCCAATCACTCCGTGCACATCTAGAGTCCCTAAAGTGCCCCGGAGACATTCGAACCATTCGGAAGGCGTTGGTAGGTTATTACCATATATGGAGTAATATGCTCATCAGGTGGCACTGGTCCCCTTGGTTCGCCAGCAGGGCGCTGTATTCACCTCCATGGGAGGTATACAGGTCTTGAAAGCTCTCACTGAGGAAGACTTGGCAATCGATCTAGTTGGTCGGGTTTTCTGTAAGGATCTATCAATATCTTGCTCGTCACGTTGAATGCCATCGAGGTTCTCTGTGTGACGATGACCGAGTATCTCCTGCCGTTGTAGCGAGTATTGTGGACCTCGGTTTGCTCAAAGCCGTCCTCCTTGCACTGGTGACCAAACCTCGCCAAGAACAGGGAGACCGCTGCTTTAGCACGTGGGTATGATGCTCATGTTAGGCATCTAGGTGTGGAACTCGGCATTAGGTCCGTGAAGGAGTCGCCAGACTATTGTCGGTGGACCCTCGAAGACTGACGTTAGAGATTATTAATATCATATCGGACATGGACAGTCATCAGGAGATGCTCGAAGTACTTCAACTCCGCCTTTACCCCCTCTGACCTTGTGGGATGTCAGGTCCCTCTTAGTCTAATAGTAGACTGCGTTCGAGAGGAGGTCATCACTGAGGATATAGTGATGGAGAGTGTAGGCGTGGAATCTCGTCTCGTTATGGAGTTATCACTTCTTTCCTCAGATATCATCCTCTTTCGGGATCAACAGGAGGAGGCCGCACGCGTGCGTTAATTTGTGTTTTGCAGTGCGTCGACTGGGAGAGTCAGGTAATACGAAGTGGAGTTCAATTTTCCAACACTCCACTGGTCCGATAACCCGTGTCATTTCTCAAACGATCAGGCCTCACATTCAACGGTATTGACTCTCAAGATTTAGTGGTTAGCATTGTCAAGTCTCTACAACACGCTCAGAGTGCGCCACGTATACTGGTAGTAGTAGTAGTAGTAGTAGTAGTAGTGAACGAGGGAGCCATTCCTCTCAGGCTGAAGGGACACTTGCGCTTGAAGTGCTGGGCAAGATCGACACTGATTTGCTCGAGATGGTCCAGGGCGTGTGCCGGTCAGCACGTAGTAAAGTAGTTGCCCGCCACACTCTATTACAGCCCTCTGTGGCAGTGTCCGATCCTGGCGTACAGAAGGCTGGCCTTTGGTCCATTGCTCGTATGTCTCCCAAACTATGCCACCATGGGTCTGTGGACCTACGGCTGGCAAGAGTCACTGTGAGAGTAGTCGCCTCGGAACCGTCATGGACCTATCTTGACAGGTGGATCTCTGTATCAAGGCCATGGGGCGTTACTCTCATGACCGAGATGTGGTATTAGTAGCGATGGGATGTCTGCTGGAGGAAATGCGGTGCTTTGGCGACGATGAGGTAGACTCATACCCAGCCTCGTTCATCTTGTGGGTTGTTCGAGTGGTGGCACATCGTGCTGAGTCGTCATCACTATCAGCGTTAGCTCTGTTCAGGAGGCATGGGAAGCCATAGTCCAGTATGGATTCAGAGCTGGTATTGTTATTCTGTTGGAGGAGATCATTGTCGAGCATGGCCCAGAAAACCCTAGACTAGCCATCATGGCAGGGTAGTGGCAGGGAAGTGGTCAAATGGCAGCCCGCTGCTCTTGGGTGGATGGTCTCGGGCTCGTGACTGTAGTTGCTGTCAGAAACTCTCTGATAGACTCGTGATCACTCAGAATGATGATCAGTTTAGTGATTCCATATTCATCGTGACAGTTGACAATAGATTATGTTTGTGCTCCTCCTCTCAGAGAGATCATACGGACGGTCAGACGCCGAATACCATGCGACAAATCTCCGTTACCGTTTACTTCATCTCCACCCATGGGTCGGCCCTTTGGGGATGTACCAAGTGAAGTGAGGCCCCTCCTCGTGGCCGATCGGATACCTCGTATCTCTTCTATCTAGGAAGTACCCACCATAGAGCAGGGCGAGCCACTTCCCATAGGCCGTGGTATCCTCAAGCCACATAGTATGGACGCTTCGCCATTGGAGGGTAGGCTGTTCTGAATATTCATCATTTGTTTCGGTAGAGTTCTGGTGGTGCTCATAAGGTAGAACACGGTCGGTATCATTCAAGACGCCATCTCCAAGCGACACTCGGATGTGGGCCGTAGGCGGGTCAACTGCTCGTACTATTGTCGTTGTCTCTCAGCTATCATGTAACGCCCCAGAGTGCATCTACTGATTCTCCGGCACCTTCGGCTTCCCTCGATTTTGACAAGGACGAATTAGCAGACGATGATGTCGTCAATGGGAGCCTTGCTGGTTCTGATCGTGAAGACACATCATGTGTGATTCAATAAAAAGTTTCTCTCGGAGTATAGAATTTGGTTCCTTCCCTTACCTATTTCATCAGTGTATGATGAGCACACGAGTGTTTACGTCTATCGAATGCACTCTGTCGTTCGTCTCTGCAATGGTCTGGCGGCTGTTCGGCATTTTAGTAGGCACATTGGTCGACTGGCCAAGTGGCTAGCTCTCTGCTCGAAGAGCCATGATCATGAGTGGTTAGGTTTCGCGTAGGCTGCCACAGCGAATATCGTACCTCCCAAAATGCCCTTGGCAAACATTCGAGCTATCAAAGGTCTGGAAGGGAACCTGAGATTTATTCAATGATGATGATAATTCAATTCAATGATGCGATAAGGGCGCGCAGCAACCGGCCGTTTCACCCGGTGGTGAAACGGCTGGTGCTTTTTTGGTTCCTTTTCAGCTGTTAGTGTTTGTCCTGCTTGTCCCTGAACTTAGTTGGTTGGTATCCTCGTCATTCCGGTGGGAAGGGATTGCAAAGGGCACAATCTCAACTTTGCTCGAGGAGGAGAATGTTAGAACGGTAAAGGTAAGTGTGCTCGGGTTAGGCCGTCCTCCTTGGGCCGTTTCAGACAGGGAAAAGGTACTCTCAGACTCTCCGTGAGCTGCTTGCAGCGAACCATCCCTTTAAGGGCGGTAGCCCGTTAATTACAACGAAAAATGAGGAGGCAGGAAATGAGTGTACGTAATAGGTATTCATCGGCAGAGGACACAGCTTCCAGAATTGACTCAGTTTGGATATCATCACTTTATCAGTAGTTTATTACAACGCTCGAGTTGCCAATCTCACCGGGTTATCTGGACACAATAGTTACCTACCATTCAACCATGTTAAGTTCGCCCGCTCCCAAGAAGAAACCGGCGAATCTCCTATGTCCCGAGTCTGCTTCCTCGTTGACGGGGAAACTTGCCTCCTCTGAGCTCACGGAGGACGTACTCATGCTCATCGCGAGGTAAGGCCGTAGCTGGCGGCTACTAACTGTATTTCCCGTTACATTGTAACCTCGCTGATGGTTCCAGTAGGTTTCTCGAGTTCACTGAGCTTCTCGAAGGCTTTACCCAAACTTGTACTGTGTGGTACTCCGTCAGCAAACGCATCCGCGATCTGGATGGGAATGGTCAGTGTATTGATATATTCTCATACACACACGCAGATTTGCACAAGCTCAGCGGGCTTCTGCCGCGCAAGCTCACGTCTTTGAGGTGGGTACTGATCGTGTCACCGGTGTATTGTCTTGAGTGATATTCGCGCACTTGTTTTCAGAGTGTCACTACCAGCTCCTGAGAGTGATCCATATCGTCCATCCTCTGAGGTCATCGAAGCGATTTCGCAGTTGATTGACAAACTTCCTGACTTGCGGGTGCTTGAGCTGTTCTGCAGAAACAAGTCTGGAGCCATCATGTTCGATAGTGAGTCCTACGCGCTCACTCATGCCTCTGGAATAAGCGTGGAAGTTGTCTGAAAAGAATGTTTTCTCAGATAGGGCCGTCAACAGCTTCAGAGCTCGCGTTAGAATAGACGAAATGGGAACCGCCGCCGATGAGGCGTGCTCAAAGGGCTTGAAGCATCTGCTCATACATCGATGTGAATTGGATGTAGAGTTTGGATATGGACTTGCTGGTAGTAACCCGGGCCACAGAGTGGGATTTCTGCTGGAGAGTTTTCATTGTTACTATCGATTCGTTAGCTATCGGGTCTCGCTTGCAACCGTCCTCCTTCAGGCATTTGTCCAGATCTACGCACTTTGTGCCTCACGGGTGGTTCTCCTTTGTGCCACCCCAAGTTCGATGTCCTGCCAACGGATAACTTGAAGTGTCTGACGTCGCTTATGCTTGGAGGAAGTGTGCCCAGCAGCTTTGGCTTTGACGCTTGGATAAAGCACCACCTATTAGATAATGGCAGTGCCTGCAAGCTCACTTATGTCGAGGTGATATTCAGCTTCCTTAAGAACTCGGTCTATAACACCACATGTATTGCCATTTGGTCAATCGCTTCTTCTCAGGCGCGGGGGTCCGACCTTGATGTGACACTGGAGACTATGTTTGCTGTACGGCGGTGTCGCAAGGATGTGCGACTGGACTTCTCTATGATGGATTTGGTGACAACGCTTTTCAGTATTGTGGATAACATATAATTTAACGAAAATTCTGCCTTTGCTATCCCTATGATGGATATGCTGCATGTGTAACCATCACAGTTCATAAAGCTGTAGCTATCTGCTGATAGACACGCCCGCAACCTATGGGTGGAGTGGCTTATGAGCAGTAGCCTAAAGAGCCCTAATGTTGGGTTCAGTGGGCTAATGCGTGACACAGATATCTGTGCGTCGAAGGATATCTTTATTTCAGTTCTTTTGGGCTGGCGCTAACAACTGACGTTTTAGACTTTGAAATTCAGAGAGCTTTCGCTGCGAAGGCCCAAAAGCCACTCCAAAAGCCATCCGCTGCGAAGGCTTCGCATCACCTGATTTTCGGCTAGGTCCGATTCGTGGGGTGATTCATTCACAGTGATCGGCCATGTTGCAAGTGAATGGTAAGATCCTCAGAAGTGAGTCTTTCAGGGCGTCGGGCACTCCGTTCGCAGTTGAGGAATGAGCCCATCACTTATACATTGCGAACGAATTTTCGTAAGATTTCGTTCGCGAGATGTTCCGAATATCTCATAGTCTGCGCGAGAAATCTACCAGTAGTAGGTGTTCAGCCAGCTACAAGGTCGCTGCGGATCTGCTGATATCTGCTCCTCTAAGAGGAGCACCGTTTCATTGTGATAATCACTAACGACTCTTCAGAAAAATCTTGTGCCTTTATATTCGCTTTTTTGGCACATCATCAGCCGCACAAGTGATTCGTAAAGAATGAGGAACTTTTGATTAGTCTTCACGACCAAAACGTATGCCCAGCTGATTGATCCAATCGATACACTTCATAACGCAGCTATCAAAATCTCGTTTGACACAGCTATGATGCATGTAATCAATACTTGACTCCATCGGGAGTCTTTGATATCCAAGTCGAGCGGCGAGCGCTAGACGATTGATGCTTCAGACGACTCGGTTTTCATCTGAGAAAACACGATCATTGGAAATCTATGATGAAACGAGTAATCGCGATGGTGCCTGGTAGGCACCGCCTGCTCGACATCGCTAATGAAACCTACCTCTGTCTCCGCTTGCCCAGGAATCTGTCTTCGAGCTAGGACGATGAACTGGCACCAGGACGACATCAGCATGATCAGCAGCACCACCAGAATTGCAACGAGCAAAGCGGTGTTGTCGGCGACACTCGAAATCCTCTCTGCTTCGGTATTGGGCCTAACACATAGGAAAGTTACAATCGCTTCATGGCTAGTCGTCTGGAGGTGTCCCGATAAGCATGGTCGGATGGGACATTAAAGTCCCAGATGAATACTACTTCGGATGTTCGGAGCCTCCCGTGTCTTGAATTCCCGCTCCAGCCGTGGCTACCGCTGCCGTGGTTGTCTCTGCAGAATCATCTCCCCCTGGTATCCCGGAGAGATCGATGGTAGTGTCGACAACTCTTGGCTTGGTCGTAGTCGTGTCGATGTCGGAGAGGTCCAGAGTCGGGCCCAGATCTATCCCCTCAAAAAAAGAGAGGTTCACAGTAGGGGAGGAGGTGGTGGCCGTATCGAGGTCGGAGAGGCCCAGAGTCGGGCCCAGATCTATCCCCTCAAAAAAAGAGAGGTTCACAGTAGGGGAGGAGGTGGTGGCCGTGTCGAGATCGGAGAGGCCCAGAGTGGGGCCCAGATCTATCCCATCAAAAAATGAAGGGTCGAGAGTGGGAGCGGGGGTACTCTCGACAACCACTGAAGTCTTGGTCTCGGTCACAGTTACGTCAACGTCGTAGGTCCCCAGGTCTATCCCCTCAATTAGGTTGAGGTTGATAGTTGGGGAAGGAGTAGTCTGGGTAGCCATTGGGGGCTCGGCCTTGGTCCCAGTAGGAGCTCTCGTAAATTTCAGATTCTCCACGACGTCAGGGGGGAATACAAGTCCCACAGTTTCAGTCGTGAAGCAAGCCGAGAGAAGAACGCTCAGTAGGATGTAGAAGGACATTATGTCGTATCCGATTTAACTGAGGATTGAACTACAGTTGAATTCATACCGGATTCCACTGCTCCTGCGATCAGTATTAGCAGGCTAACGTACACAGACATGTTATCACTATACGCGGTAGACCAACGCCGCTGGTCGCAGCTGCTCTGGAAATGTGCTGCTCGAAATAGAAGCAAGATTGGTCAAGAGTGCGAGTTCACGGACCTTTCTGGTTTCGGGCGCAAACAAACCGTGACACTAAACTTTGTCCTAAATCACTAAATCTCGCGCGCGCCTCTGTAATCGATTTAAGCGCGCCCAAGGTTGAGAAAAAGAACATCCTTTACACCGTTTCCAGTTGGATGGATGGACAAACATATAACCCAACTAACCGCAATTATTATATGCCGTGCAGTCCTTTCCCGCATGAGTTATGATCCCGCGGCGCCCCCGGCCCGAGCGACTAGGCCCTTTTCGCTATGATGTATGTATTCAGTTCTTGACAGTTTTCAATGGACTTGAGTGCTTCCCAACGTTTTCAACCCATCTCGGCCCAATTCCAGCCACAGTCCTATCAGGCGGGTCTGGTCACCAGCCAATCGCTCTCTGCCACGGTAAGACACGTCTCCAATGCTCGTTGCTGAGTAGTGAAACCTCCACCACTCAGCAATACAACGGCATTCAAGTTCCTAGCTACGTCCCTAACGTGGATCGCATGGAATCCTCAGTTTACTCTGAGGCAATTCGAGAGGATGTTAGACCAACCGATGTCCTATCTCCGCAGGCTTTGGCGGCCTATCTCGATTGCACAGTAGTATCGAGCGCTACCGATACGAGCTACATCGTGTGCTATTCCCGTATAAGGTACTTCGTCTTAACTCGTTGATTTCGAACATGAGGAAGCAGAACATGAAGGAAGCTCTAACAAGATGGGCAGACCTGCCAAGACTTGAGCGAACTGCGAAGGAACTACACCGGACTCAAGAGCGGGTATTGTTTCGCTGTACTTTCGTTGGCTACGTTTATATATCTGACTTATCTCCGGGTCACAACCCAGTTTGGAGTTTTCTCACAGCGAAGGGCTTCAGTTACTGGGCACTATGCGACGCGAGAAGAAAGATCACGATTATGCTATCACTGTAAGGCGGAACGGATCGTCGATGCCTGGGGTCCGCAAGCTAGTAGAAAGAAAGTTATTCGATGCGGCAGTGTAGCTCGGCTATAAAAGTCCAATACCAGGATCGCGTATAGAACAGTATATACTCCCGCCCATTTATAAGGTTCTGAATCAGCGTTGGGCGATAAAAGCTCGAGAGGCGGAGAATGACGTCCTCGCACTGGAGGAGATCGATAAAGAATACGCGTGAGGAGTTGACCGTCCCCTCACGTTCCGTTTATCGCCTCCCATCGTTACCCCAAAGGTGTGCGTAACTCAGGGCAAAGATCGCTGACTGTGACAATAGCTGGAACGGCAGACGCGAGGATCTGAAAGATCAACTACGAGCTGTGAAGCTGGAGAAAGGACTTTCCCAGGGAGCGGTTTCATTGAAGCTCGCTCTAAGCCGAGCCAAGAATCGCATCCTCCAAACAGCACTCTGGAAGTAAGGCCCTGCCAAATGTTATCAGTCATTCCGCCCCTCTCCACTGGGGAGTTCCTCCCAATGGCCGTCGATTCTGTTAGAACAGTACCTTTCCGGTTAATTCAGATTGAAAGATATCGTTGGCTTCTCACCTGGAGAAGCATTTGGCGATTCTGCAAGGATCGTAAGTGTGCACTCCTTTTTTCTCGCCCAGTCCCGATTTGTCTGAGCTTTCACGCTCACTCTTCACGACTGGACAAGCAGGCCTCGTGAGAATCGAGTGTCAGGTGTCCGGTTTATTCCCAGAAGCTGCTACGGTTGTAGGGAGCTACCTAACGGCTATCGCTGCTCTAACGTGAGGCATACTGTATTGGAATATGGCGCCGTTATCGAGCTATGGTATGATGAGTTCGGATGCAGACACGACCATGCGGAGCTGGATCTGACTGTCAACTGTGCCCGGACTGCAGCATATCAGCGAAGGAAGCTCGAAGTGGAGATTGTTAATAAGCTGCCCGCGGTGAGAACGTCGCTTCAAGCGCAGGTGTATTACTGAAATGGGGGCTGGATGCAATGGTCTTTAAAGAGCCCTCCTGGTCATTATTGTTCCGTATCATTCAGGCAATGGCCATGGAAACGGTCCTGAGGAAGCTTGTTCTGAGTGAGTGCTCGATCAAAAGGCTAGGGCTGTTGAGTCTGTACTGAGCACTCCTTCAGGGACATACAATCGGGCCTTGCAAGACTTCATGGACTTCGCCCAATTTTCGATGATAAGCGTTCCTACTCATTGTAATGCTGAGGCCTTACAAGAGCACTTGGCGAGTGCACGAGAAACTATACCAGATGTATGCTTGTAGATTCTGAAGTGCCGAAACTGAAGTTGCCTCCCTCGAATTCGAGCTTGGAGGTTGGTGTTGGTGGGAGCAGCTGTTTCCAAAGTATTTCTATTCTATGATCATGTCACACAAATTTGATATCTCTGACTGACTTTGGTTCGTCGAGTGGCAAGTTCATGGAGTAACATCATGTTAGTGTATTACTCTCAAGTCACTCTGTTGATAACGTATTAGCAGAGTAATTAGAGGCCCTTTGCTTAACCTGTTGGGCATGTTTTGGCAGAGAGGGACATTTTGCCCATTTGTAGACGTCGCTCAGATTGCCCAACGTTACCAATCTCGCAACTCGCGGAGATTTCCAAAAATACCATGATGCTGATGAATATTCCAGCTCCTATCAAGAGAGTGATTACTCGTAACTAAACACCTCGGGCGTATATTTGATAAGGGAGATGAACTTGCCGAATCGTACAATAGGCGGCGATAGTTGATAGGCCCCATAAAGTCAATCGTCATCGGGCAGTTCCTCATCCTTTGAGAACAAGGCAGCGGCGGCAGAGCTCTGGAGAACATGCTGAGGAGTCTGAGAATGATAAAATTCGCTACGCGGTGTAGAGCACTTATCGAGTACATCAACTTCGTCATCTTCCTCATCATCGGACTCATCGGACTCATCCTCATAGGAAGAATCCGAGCTCGCATCATCATCATCGACAAACAATGTCGGATCGAAGGTGAACAGATCCCTGAATGACGAGCGTGTTGTCAATTGGCCAACGCCCATGATTAGCCTACCTCCCGGACATAACACTCCGCTTCTCCTTCTTAGCCTGGGCAATACGCTCCTGCTTCTTCCGCTCTTCCTCTGCTTCCCTCTCCTCTTGTTTCTTCTTCTTCCACGCTGTGAAAGTCTCAAGCGTGACGGGAGTACCTAAGCATCAGGTCCTAAACACAGATATGCAGGATCTAATCATTCGAATGGCCTCAACCTTGCTGGTCGACCCCTGTGAGAATTACGCAAGCCCCTCTAGTTCACTCTGTAGGATACTAAGTACTTACCTCCTGCGGGTAAGGCTTGTCGCTCCTGCTCAATGATCTCATCAATTGACGGGCCATTATCATAATCGTCATCATCATCCGCTTTCTTCTTCTTCAACACGTATCCAGGAGGCAGAGCATGCCGATACTTGCACTTATCACCGCCATTAGGACACACCCAGAACTGATCGAAGGAGACTTGTAATTCACAAAAAAAACTGGAGAGTAGCCTACCCATCCGTAGACGCCCTTCTCGACCGCATCGAGGAAGTACTTGCAGATAATCTCAGTAGGATGGTTTTGGTTGGAAGCATTATGCTTCGTTTTGATGACCTGTTCCAGCTTGGCCTGGTCCCAATGATCCATAGTATCCTGCTTCTTCTCTTCATCGCTCTCTTTATTGTTCCGGTTATCAGAATAGAGATCGATCTTGCCGTACTTCTCCTCCTAAAGTACTAATCATCAACTCAGGAAGGAGAGGTGTTATCGAACCTCTTCCTTCTTCTTCTGCTTAGCTGCCTTCTTCTTATCCTTCTTCGTCTCTAATTGCACTCCGGAGAAAATCGACTGCAGGAGGAACTTCCGTTGTTCCTCCTTTTTCTTGTCCTCCCGTTTCTCGAACTGCCAATAACACCACTACCACACATACAACAGAGTCCCCACCCATCACCTCGTTCTTCTGAGGTCCCCGTTGACCCGGCTTGGCCTTCGCCGCTGCCTGGACTTCCTGTACATACCTATTCCCGTTAGATCCACACAATCCATCTAGATGCAGCAAGCACACCTCTGGACCTTGTGAGACTTATTCTTATTCTTGAGGCCGAAGGTCTTGTCCTCAGCGACCCTCTCTCGGGCTTTCATCTTCGCTTTCTCTGCCCCTCGATCTTCTTTCTTAACGCCCTTAGGGGCCATGACGTAGCAGCAAACGGTAAAGTGATGACAATACTAACAACACCGTCACAACTACTGAGACCCCATCCAATTCCACATTGATCGGTAGTTGGAGACTATTTGGTGAATAAGCAGCGAAGGGAAAAGTGTAACATCCTCCTCTAACCCGTAGTCTTCACAATTTGCACAACATCTTCATCCACCAGTACCTACAACATATTGTCATCATCACACCATCGCTACGATAGGCAATACATGGTCCTTGCCAACTCGTTGAGGATTATGCTTCACCGACATACCCCAAACCAAGGCGTACTTGAACTCCTCGAGAATACTCTGACGGACGGCACGTCCCCTAGTAGCAACGCCGCGGATAGTGTCGTACCTTATGGAGCTTGAGGCAGAAGTCTTCCATAGTACTCTTCTCTCGAGGCAGAATCACTGGTTCTGAGTAATCAGGCACTTGTCCCTTAGGCTTGGTATATACCTAAACACCCATTTCTATACACCCCGACATACAACTACTCAGTGAAGACCATCACTACTATGACTAAGTTGAGAGTGGAAGTGAAGTCGCAGGTGACGCTGGGCTTACTCGAATGAGGTCCATATAGTCCCACATTTTATCCTTCAACCCATCTATATTCCATCCAAGATCAGCTGATATAGGTACATAGTGAGGGCACTTGCAGATGACGTCGAGCTCCTCAATGGTGATGGAATCAATCTTGTTCATCACATAGAGGCACGGTACGTACTTCCGACCACCTGATACCAATACCATAGACCGCTCCTCCAACAGAAGCTTCGGTTACCTTCGATAACATCAATAAGATCATCACTACTAGCGTTGCATCGAAACACAATAGAAGCGTTGGTGATCCGGAACTCCTTGCAAATGGTCACGACCGTCTCCTCGTCCATACCAATCAATCGATACCCAGGGGCCACAGTGATGTTGATGCCGCCCTTATCAGCCTTGGTGATGATGATATTAGGGGCTTTCTTATTCAACCTCATACCGAAGCCCTCGAGCTCATGCTCGATCTTCCGCTTCTGTGTGAGAGGCTTGGTGACATCCAGACAGACGAGGATAAGACTACAGGTCATGGCCACACTGATGACCTGTTTACCTCTACCCTTGCCATCTTTAGCACCCTCGATAATACCTAACACAAGCCCACTACAACCTAGCAATGACCCCCTCCCTACCAGGCAAATCCAACACTTGCACCTTAGCTCCTTTGTACGTGTAGACACCAGGCACACATGTAAGTGTGGTGAACTCATACGCTGCTGCTTCAGAGAAGGTACCAGTCAACTAGACAAGGTTCCATCAGAGTTACCTCCAACACTACGATACATACCTTGTTCAGTAATGTGGATTTCCCTACAGACGGGAATCCGATCAGCCCAACACGAGCATTGCCCGTGGCCTTAACATCGAACCCCTCGCCACCGCCACCACCGCTCTTGGAAGAGCCGCTTACCAACTAAACGATTGCCAATCACGACGAGTACTACTGCTGGTGATAAGATATTACCTCAGTCTTGAGCTTAGCTAGCTTGGCCTTCAAGCGTCCAAGATGGGCGTTGGTAGCCTTGTTCTTCTGAGTGCGGGCCATCTCCTGCTCAATCTCATTGATCCGATCCAGAGCACTCATAATGTTGCAGATGTGAACTTAAAGGGCGAACTGCTGATATCAAGGATCATTCCCACCACTACTCTAAACTCAGCGTCAGAATCAATAGGAGTTGAAGGAAAACCATGATGAGAGATAATATAAATTCAAAACTGCCTTGTGACCTCACATCTTGGCCACTGTCGACACCCTCACAGAGGTGATTTGACGGAGGACTCTGTCGGTCTCAGCAACGATCTCATGGAGTAGCTCCCCCGCTGGCCTGGCAAGGAGGCATCCCCATCACTCACGGCTGTGCGAATGAAGTAGCTCACTTCAATGTATCAATAGCCATGACAGACTGCCCAGCGAGCAAAGCGGAGTTGTTCGGGTCGACTATCTCATCGAGTTTTGGATCATCCTTACGGCGGAGCGGTGCGCCTGTTCCGTCACCCATTAGGCCATAGAAAGATGTTGCTTTGACCTATTGAGCCAGGAGAGGTAGCCCGAACCCCAGTACCATCCGCTGGAACCATCACGACCCGCTACCTTGTCATCCATGAGATCCTTAGCCAGCGGTATAATACCAGCTTCAAGGAGCTCATCTCGAGCACTCGGATTGGACTCCCAACGCTTCACGAACTCATTCTTGATCACTCGACAAGGCCTCCCAGTATACGCAGTAGTGCGCATAGTCGCCGTCTTGAGATCGGCTTTCAATAGAACCTATCATGAACCAGAAAAGGGTGGTCCAGTGTGACGATTGAGTACCTCCTTCGCCCTAGGCTCGACATTAGACTCAGGTGTCATCAGGAAACGGGTGCCCATCCAAACCCCGCTGGCTCCCAAGGCAAGGGCCGCCGCTACCCCGCGGCCATCTCGGATACCACCAGCGGCTACAACTAGGACCTGACAGAGACGCCCTCGGAGGGCGAGAAGGAACCCTGGACGCCTACATCAGAGCCAAAGTAGTTTTTATGACCCTTGCACAAATCAACTGCCATAGGGACTAGAACGGTAGTAGCGATATCCCCAGTGTGGCCACCTAGAAAAGACGGCAGTATCGACTGAAGAGGAAGGCATTCTTACCAGCCTCTGTGCCCTGAGCACAGATAATGTCACATCCCGCATTGATTGCCTTGGCAACGTGGGAAGGGTGTCCAATCATGTTCATAATGATAGTACCATTCTGATGGAGTTTATCAGACACCCAACGTGGGGGTACTCCTACTGCACATACGAAAAGGGGTACTTTCTCATCTACCATAACCTGACCAGAGCACTGAGTTGTTCACACCAAGTCGAGGCCCTCTACACCCGTTACTTGAACCAATGCCTTCAACTGGCCGCCACTATAGTCCTTGTTGGTCTTCCTAGCATTGGGATTCTCTGATGGGTCCGCAGGTAGTAACAAATCGACCTGAGCATCGAGGCACTGAATGGTCACCTAATCTATAGAGTCGCTACCCCGTAGGGCTTGCCAGGAGCGAGCTTGGCCTTGAGCTCTCTTATGACCTGTCTCAAGCCGTCTGGATTGAGCCCAACTGCGCCAATAGTGCCGATACCACCCGCGTTAGAGACCTGAGAGGCAGCCCTTACAAAGTAATGTGCGAAATGTGTCCTACGGCAGCAGCAAGGTCGGGTCCTGTGACGAAGAAGCCCATCCCGGCACACATTATCGGATGCTCAATCCCCAGTAGCTGAGTCAGATCTGTGCGCAACATCGGACGAGAAGAAAAAAGCCAACGAGAGTACAAATACTAACCGGAAAATACCACCAGCACAGCCCACGGTTCCTCAAGGACTGTATTGAATTCTAAACTACATCTCCCCTACGGAACTACACAAAAGACTAAGAATTAACGAAAAAAATCGATCACGAAGGCGCGCGCGAGATCTAAATTGAAGCGTGACGCCTGTATTTTACCAAACCCGAATTTAACCAATACAAAACCGCGCGCCAATATAATCGATAAAAAGGGTTGTTATGAAGGACCCCGAGACTATAGTACACGACGCGGATGACGTTGCAGACATAGCAATAATGGAGTGAATCAATGGTGAATATACAAACATCTACGGGAGACGGTTACAGACGTTCCGTCGGTTACAGATATGAAAAGATGCGCTCATAGTAGCGCGCGCCACAGTCGGGCTTTCCATAATCTCCACATACCGCCCTCCCTCAATGATGGACGGGATGGAATATACAAAGATTCTTGCTATCGTGGACGCTGCCATCATTGAGCTTATAAGTGTAATTGCCCAGCACTTCATCGACGGTGAAAGGACCATACCAAGAGGAGTCAAGGGAGTGAGCCGCCTCGCGCCATCTGAGTACAAAATCACCTTTCTTGAACTGACGACGATTGTTAATGGGGTTGGTAGTAGGGGTTCGGAGGAAGCTATCAGCTTCGGCCTTGTCTAGAAGAGCGATGATATCTTTGAGTTGGGCATTCCTTCGCCTCAAACGCCGGTCAGCCTCGAACTTGACGGAGTCATCAGAGATACCCGAGCGGAGGTCACAGAACCTATCGCTCCACGGAGAGCAACAAGGGCGACCGTAGAACAATTCAAAAGGGGTAGTAGAGGTGTCACCCAAGCACCGAGAATTGCATCGAGCCATCGCAACAGGTAGGAATTGGGGCCACAGGTCAGTGTCGCCAGCACACAGAACCTTGAGCACCTTCTTCAAGACACCATGCTGTCGTTCCAACAGAGAATTGCGATGGGGAGCAAATGACGGTACATAGGTTGGGACGATACCCCTAGAATAGCACCATCCACGGAAGGTTGTTGACCTGAATGATGGAGCATTATCCATACGCAAGCTACGCATGCAACCATAGGGATAGATTAGTCTACTCTCGAGGGTATCGATGAGAGACTGAGAAGTACTGGAGCTAATAGCAAAAAACCAGATATGTCGACTAGCTGCATCCATACAGCTTAATACAAACCGGTAGGGATGCTTGGCTGACAAGGGTAGGGGACCAACGACGTCGATGAAGACACAGTCCATCGGAACCATAGCACCACCAAGGGAAGTTGCGACAGGCCTGTCGGTCCCCCTCCTGGCACGGGTATACTGGCAAATACACCGGCTAATGACCTTCTGGACAGCCTTGGCCAACCCAAATATATAAAAGTGCTTGGAGATGCATGCAGTAGTCTGCTTGCTGTCCGAGTGACCGTAGAAGTAATGATACTTCCGAGCGATATCAGGAGCATATTTTCTAGGAATCACATAGCCGTCTTTCAATCGCATAAGACCACAATCGTCAATCCAAAAACGAGACAGCTTACGATCAATGAGAGAGCGAACCTTACCACACTCCTCATCCCCCCTCTGGACATCATAGAGCCATCGGCGGGCGGATTCGGGGTCAACGGGGACATCGGAACTCTCCTCGAACGGCACTCTTGTTTTCCACGCTAGGAAGCACCTCCTGAGGCCATCGAGTAGGTTTACACACACATCGATAGCACCGAGATCCGGCTCATCGGTCTCGGTCAAGGGCAGAGGAGTAGACGATGGTGGCACTGGATCGGATGTTGAGGACGTCGATGATCCCAGACTGGCGGTAACAGCCGTATTGGCCTGAGGGTAATCACTTCGGATAGCCTCTGTAGTAGTCTCGGTTATGGTCACGGGCTCATCGTTGGCAATACTCCGAGCTAGGGCATCGGCCCAACGCGGACATTCAGACCTCGGAACCCATATGACCTTGTTGACATTGCGACAGAAGGCTTCCCACCGAGTAAGCCAAACGCCGTGGAAGGTGTCCAATACGTCCTTCCACGTCTTCATACCATTCTGGTTGTCCAAGACCACAGTAACAGGACCCTCCAGCTCTGACTCGGCGTCGGCGATAGCGGCCACCACAGCCGCTCGTTCTCTCCAAGTACTACTCCTCTTCCTATCAGTCTGGCTCCAGCGGCCACCCAGCATGCGGACAGGGAGGAAGACGAGAGGCTTGGGGTCATTTGTATCGAAGAGCGACATGCTATCAGGGAAGATGACCGGAACGTCGAGCGAATGTGGGGTGTTGATGTCACCAGCATCGTCGAATACTGCCTTGAGAATGATGGCAGCCCATGAGTCAGTATTGGAATCTCCCAGCACCACCGTACCCAGCAGTGAGCCACCAAGATGGGTCGCTACCATGGGTGGTATACCAGACAGATAGAATTGCAGCAGCCCTTGGAAAGCTTCACCAATACCAGTCACGCGCTCGTTCTGGCGATCACTGAGCTCTTCTTGGAGAAGAGGGCAGTCATGCTTCTGGTAGCGGGACAAAGCGTCTTGTAGGACATAGAGATTTGTAAGAGCCTCCGGAGGTAGGTGGTTGCGGAGGTAGTTCATAGTTCCGGACCACTTTCGGAGCCACCCAAGTCGTGCCAATCGCAGGGTCTCGAAGTTGTCGGTCACCTTCTTCGACTTCAACGATGGAGTGACAAACTCGGACCACGCTAGCGAGTAGGTGGACTCCGTAAAGGCTTGTCGAGATCCCTCAGGACGATGAAAGCCACCTCGGAGAGTAACACCACAGAAATGGACCTTATCAGTGGGACCGCAGGACTTGGCTGGGTTAGGGTGAAAACCATGCTCGATGAAGATCTGGATGGCAACATCAGCGGCTTTTTGGCAGTTCTGGGCATCCTGTGCAGCAATCAAAATGTCGTCTTTGTTATGGCGACAGACAGCCTTGATCTGTAGTCGGTGTAGCTGTTCGTTGATGATGTCCACGAGAAGCTGCATGGCCGAGTTGAAGAGACAGCTTGAGAACACCCACCCTTGGGGAAGGACTTTGTACACCCACCACAGCTGCCGCCCATCGCCAGCCCGGGAAGTAGTGCCAAAGATGGACCTTAGTGCGGGAGGTAGGAGAACTCCCGAATAGGCATCGGTCAAATCGAGCTTGTAGTAGGCTTGGTAGGAGAAGGGGATGCTGTTGAGCTTTGCGGTGATGTTCGGTTCAGCTTGTCGAAAGGCTTCCTTAACAGCAGCGTCGGTTAGCTGTGGGGTACCATCGGCGATCATCGTCTGAGGCATCAGCATCATGTTGGCATCTTCATCCGCCACATCTCCTACCAATACCAACCTATTGATAGGCCTACAGTCCACGGTGACCCTGTATCGCTTATCCACCATCGGATCAGGATACACCCGCGGTCGAACACCCGATTCCTTATCGCAGATGACAGCGGCAAGGACGGCAGTGCAATCAGCCTCATTGCAGGACTCGACCTTGCCCTGTGAAGCCATAGTGAGCATACGATGGGTAAGGATCTGGTTGTTGGTCTGGGACAGCTGCCTTTGCTTCTCTCGATAAGGATACAAGACCAGCCTCTCCAACGGACCACAATGACACATCACGCGCTTGCCCTCAGCAGTCTGCACAATCTCAGCAGTCGGAAGTGATGGAGTGGCGCGAGCGGCCATAATAGGATCGGGAGGAGGCGCAGTAGTCGAAGCAGCACACCGGAAGTTGGTGGTGTCCGCCTCGCCAGTGGAAGTCAGTTGTACACCTATGGCTGGGAACATGTTGGTACCCAAAAGAATGTCGGGATCGACATCATCGCAGACGAGGAACTCCAGTGTACCCTCAAGTCGACCACTGGCGAATTCGATGTGAACGATGTGAGACCCGGAGATGCTCTTGCCAGAGGCTACACTGACAGGAATCGTACTGGGAAGTTGTACGACGTCCTTATCCTTGATCACGCCACGTTTGGTGAGATAGGCAACCAAGCCGGAGCTGATCAGGGAGCAATTGGCTCCTGAGTCCACTAAGCAGGAGGCTTTGCAGTAGGCACCATTAACACCAAGAGTTAGATGTACCTCAGGTTGGCGGGGAAGGCGTCGGAGAAAATCGACAACAGGGTCGGGGGCATTCTTGCGGACAGCAGCCGCCGCCAAAGAGGTCACCAGCGCACACTTAGAGTTAGTGACAGGAAACTTGTCCTTGAACTGAGCCTCACCATCAGACTCGGGCACCTCACTGCGCTTGCCAGAGCTGCTCTTGCGCTGACTACGGCAGACACCAGCAACGTGCCCTGTTTTATGACACCTTGAACACACCACCCTCCGTGGGGAAATCCTACAGCGATGATTCTCAGATCGTAGGTCCCCGCACGTCTGGCAACGGTCGGCACATCTGTAGATGTTGGGAGAGTTGCAATCTCTTGCAAAGTGGTTGGCGTTCTGGCCACAACGCAAACAGGCCTTTTGATCTAGCCCCAGGGACTTGGTGATGGCAAGGTGAACTTGGGCGTAGCAATCATCAGTGTCGAAGGCTGCCTTGCGGGCCAGAGGTTTCTTGGCGTTCTTGGAGGTATCAGACGCAGATGGCTTGGGAGCACCGGGTGATGGTTTGGAGCCCAACAAGGGAATGACATTCTCGTCGCCGGACTGCACGAAGGATACCACCGCTAGCTTGAAGCCTTCATAGTCCAGACGTCCGAGAGGATCGACAAGCATCTTGGCGAGTATGGCAGCAGGTTCGCAGAAGCCATTGGAGAACTTCTGTACCAACTCACTATCGGGAATGTCGGCCTCAAGGAGAGATCGTCGAGTATGCACGAGCTCTTCAAATCGCAGAGCGTAGTCCTGAAGAGTTTCATTAGGCAGCTGTACAACCTTTTCCCATCGGCTGCTGAAGGCCTTCAACTCGTTAGGCGTGAGATAGATGTCGTCGAGAACATCGAATATGGCAACATGTCCGCGTTGGACTCGATCAGTGCTGGACACACGCCGTCTTATGCGAGACCGTAGTGAGGGTTTGAGACAAGCCCATACTATCTCAACGCTCACCTCACGTGAACAGTTGTAGTTGTCGATCTCATCACAGACCCGGACCCTCCAATCCGCATACGCACCAATGTCGCTCCCGTCGAAGTAGAACTCCTTCAAGATCGGTTTACCAAGTAGGGTGTTGACCTGCTTCAGAACCTCATTTTGGGATGACTTGGTGGTATCGGTTTTAATGATCAAGGGACGGACTTGGCTTCGGAGTGCATGCTGCTTGGCTTTCGTCCAGTGAGATGTGGATATCTCAGTCACAGGGGAATCCTCGTGTTCTCGAGATAGATCGGTTTGCTGACCCGGATACGACACTCTCGAGGGCGCGATAGTCTCACGGGGATGGGCCGACTTGCTGGATCTCGCTGTCGCTATCTCGCGCTTAAGATCACCACGAGTTGGCAGCGGGCAATCATCGGGTACGGCAATGCGGTACTCCTGGGATACCTTGTCGATAAGGCATCTGGATAACCATTTGGCCGTTGGCTTCACCCAAGTTGGTGTGCTTATGTCTAGCAGATTGTCATCTGCGATCCGTTCGCATGTACGGACCATGTCCTCGAACGCAACGTTGACGTCGGTTGGGGTCTCAGAGGAGCCATGCTGAGTGCTGTCTTGAGTCGGGAATGTACCACTGGCTGTGGTGCCCGCTCTGCCATCACTGGTTTCACTCGATGTCGGAGCCGTAAGGGGGCCGGCAGGGAGTGGTGTGGGAACCGTGATGGCATCGACACAGTCACGCATGGTCAACCTGTAGTCCTTGGTACCAGTCTCGAGGTCGATGAAGCACTTCGCGAGAGCAGTCTTGTTGTCGACCAGTAGTTCTCGGCAGGCAGCCCCCAATGTTATGAAGGACCCCGAGACTATAGTACACGACGCGGATGACGTTGCAGACATAGCAATAATGGAGTGAATCAATGGTGAATATACAAACATCTACGGGAGACGGTTACAGACGTTCCGTCGGTTACAGATATGAAAAGATGCGCTCATAGTAGCGCGCGCCACAGTCGGGCTTTCCATAATCTCCACAGGGTAATGTTTAAACAAAATCGGAATTTATATTTTTGTCACGATTTTTTCCAAAATATTGCTAATGTTCATTTCTAACTCGAAAACACAATCCTGGAAGAAATACTTGCATATGATTCGTAGCTAAGTTGGGAATAAGTTGAGTATTCTGATCCGAAGGTCGTTGGTTCGATTCTATGTTATTCTTTCTCGTTAGGACTCTGCGCGTGAACAACGGGCGTGTGACTTGCTTAGAGACAAGTGAACCGTAACGGACTTATCGCAAGCGACACGACGCGGTGAACTCTCAAATCAGTGCGAATAGAACGACAAACGCGATTACCACGGTACCAGTGATAAACTCTCAACCATGCGATAGCAGCACAGTAGAGATCTATTCACACCCAGATAAGTCATCCCATAAGGACTAATAACTCAAGCCGTGCCCATTAACCGATATATAGCTACCATAGCGTACTAACAGTCTAAGGGAATCGATACAACTAGTAATAAATCCCAGTACCAATGTATAACCGTATGACTGCTAGAGATACGGATAACCTTCATACCCACCATATGAAGTCCCTATCCAATCTGACAGTGATCCTGCAGAATCAACTGCCTATCGGAATACAGGTCGAGATACGACCGTAAGACTCCGAAACAATTGGAATAACAACACGTAAAAAGGAGACAACCAGGGCATAAGCGCACGCCCGGCGTCACATCCGCACAGTATCGAACCCGCGCTACCGCGCAACTCTTGATGTTTCTTGCATATGCGGTAACTTGTCGTTTTTTAAACTGTTTCTTCTGTATTTGCAAATGAGCGAACGATGTTTCCCCTGCGTAGTGGGCTTTTTCTTTGTTTTTTTACCTACGAACTAGCTCACAAGCTTAATTAGTTATCCCCGACTATGTGTTAAGTGGTCTTGTAACAAGACTGGTGGTGGTCACTACCAGTCTCTAACAAGACTCTTGTTAGAGACTGGTAGTGAGACTGAGATCTTTAGTTAGGAGTCCGCATACTGTATCATCTGAGATCAATCGCAAATGTCATTTTTATCTTCTTGAACGAGTCGCGTTTTTACAGTGTCAATTAATAACTTATTAATAATGCGCTATTAACAATACACGTTCACATTATCATAATACTGTCGCTACGACAGTAACGACAGTGTCGTAGAACGCGGGTAGGTCCCTCAGCGACCGTCGCTGGGACAATGCGCCTACTTCACAATGTGAAGTTCACATCACACAAATCTCTAGCGAAAATTATTGGAAGTAGACACGCGAATAATCTTGGGAATTGCTAGCGCGACGGACTTACCGGGCAGTTGCCAATTGCCAACTAGTAGATTATTGCTGTAATATAGGTCCAGGACTCCTGCAGCAGGAGTGGACTAGTATTTCATTATTCATTTACGTAGTTATCTAGTTTGAAACGATTCATTGCTTCGAGCTCCAAATCGGGCCTTGTATATAGTTATTCAAAATGGTACAAAAGCATCGAACACAGCTAATAAAAACGTCCTTACGAGATTTTGAACCAGCGCCACCGGTTACCCAGAACCGAAGACTAACCAACGCGCTATTCCAACTCTTAAAATCGAAACCAAAGTAATCCCCCAGCGGCTGGAAAGCCCAATTTAAGCTCTGAAATAATTAAAAGTATATTGCTTAGGTTCGAACCCTATACCGTTGCACTCACAAACACGAAACTTAACCACTGAACCATACACTCTACATAACAAAAAGTTTTTAAGTGTTCTCCATTGCTACCTGTTATTGCTTAAACGTTCCCCAAGCGATTGGGTAAAATAATGCTAATATATATATTAATAGATTATAATGGCGCGCGGTTTTTAGTTGGTTAAAATCGGGTTTGGCTAAATTCGGGCAGAGCCAATTGAAGCACATTTTTCGACTTGACTGGTGTTGATACAGAGCATAATTTCATGACATGGAGGCATGGACGGCGACAGGGGACTACAGCGTGTCAAGCATGGTTTAAGATAGATCATCATCTAAGACCTCGATGGGTGTTTAGGAAGCAGAGACTTGGGCATGAGGTCAGGTAGTAAGGGCTATCGATAGAGGGGTTTATGGACACCTACAACACTGGGCCATGCGCGTTCAGGAAGAAGTCCCCCATGCTCACAGTGAACGAACGAGTATTTTGGCAACCAGGCCTCCGAGCACATCCTGCTTTCAGAGCCTCTGTAGAGTACCTCTTATAGGCCATACAAGATCCCTGTAATAGGTCCTCAATGGTCTCGAGCCAACACACTCTCCCATGACTAGATTGCCGAGGACCTATAGCGGGTAGACCACATTCCTACCACTCCTAGTACTCTCATCTGCTCTCAGCATGGGAAGTCCTGAGTACGTTGGACGGCAGTATCTCCTGACACAGGACCACGTACCGGAGCATTTGAGATTAGTAGTAGAGGGCATCTTAGGTCGACCTTATCATATCTACAGGCCTATGACTCGATAGACACTCCTCTGTCGTCCCATCTCGCCACTGTCTCTACTGAGCTATTCCCACACAGGCAACTAGCTCAGCTATGCGAGGAGTTCGAAACTGTAATTGCCACACGAATGCATCTCAACCGCTCAGATGGTCCTTAGGTATGGCACCATGGTAAGGTGCGTAGAGGGGGCAAGCTGCAGGCCTTCCAAGACAAACAATCATCGTGAGCCTACTCTTCCTCTCATCCATTTGGTGTCATTGCCATGATGCAGGTCACAACAGAGAGGCCCTTACCCCTATGTGGAGGAAGCAGGCTTCCCTATACTGGATCTCTTCGTGAACGAGGTAAGCGTCATTGTGATTCCTGCCAGCACGCCTCCATGCTGTATTCACTAGGTGCTCTATACGAAGCATCGATTTAAGCAGAGGCAACACCCCAAGTGGAACGTATGGAAAAAGTTCAAGAGTCGGTGTAGAAGACGTTACTCTGGGAGGTAGTATACTATTTACAAAGGTAAGGGGTAACGGATGAGGTTCGCCCTCTTCAGAGAGGCCGTACTAAACCGCAAGAAGCTCATTGCATGGAAGTTCAGAGTACAGAATAAGAACAATCAGATAGTTGCCCAAGCAAAGAGCCAGGCAGCTAAGGGGGATTGAGGTGGATGGCCCGACGTGGTACATGCCAATAGACAGTGGTTTCTGAGGCCGTCCTCTTACCGTGTTCAGTATGAACGGTACTGCTGATATCGTCTTCGTCAGCCAAACCAATGAACTGAGGAGCTCCTTTCGAGCTACCACTTGCGTATCCAACATCACACAAGATCGGAGAGTCGATCGTTTACCCGCAAAGGGTGAGGTATCCGCTTGAAACTACACCACTACCAGGAAGACCTTAGGTTGAATATGCGTGCAACGAGCATACGATATACCAGTCGCTGTAGATGTACTGGAGAGCTTGTGGAAGAATGAGGCGAATGCGTTGCTTGACTTCAAGGCTAGTATTGTCGATCTCCCTTTGACCATCGCAGCGACTTCGTTATAATCTCTTTTCTTTCCGTGACAAACCTCAACGAACGCAAATCCCACAGGGTTGGGCCATCATCTCGATTCAGCGGCTTTATGAGATACAGATATACACCTGCAGAGTCGACATTATGCCAATAAGTATTGTAGAAAGCGAGCGCTGACTATAATAAACAATAGGAGTACACACGTTGTTACAATTTAGTGTCCATACAAGTGGTAATGCTATTCATGGGCCATCAAAAAGAGGTAACGGCACCCGCTACAACTATGTATCTGGGCAAACGTGTTTTCCGCTGCAACCGCTATCAATCTACGAATAGTTATGCTTCAACACTAGTTGAACTCAATAGCTAAAGTATCGAGGGAAATGATACTACGAACATCGCCGTCATGCACTATCTAATACATATGTACTGGTATAAATTATCAGACGACTACCTAATCATTGTTGGAAGCAAGCATCAGGGGCCAGGGAGCAGGTCTTGGAGTCCCCTTTGTAGAGCATAGTACGCAGACACCTCCACCAGCACGGCCTGTCCATGGCCTCGACCACAGCAGCACGAGGGGAAGAAGGGGCTTGATCTTTCTCAATAGTCTCTTTGAGTTGGTTAATAATCGATGTCAGCTCCTGCGTTTGCCTCTCTTGCTTTTCTAGTGACTCAGTTATATTGCGTTGCCAACCTACAAGATGCACTCAGGAGAGGTCGACTCTACTTCCTACCATACCCATGTCCTGCAAGGCCCCAGGGATACTCATTCGCATCAACATCTGTTGTTCGTGAGTCCGCAGAGCCTTTTGACTAAGGGAATGTACCAAGGCCCCCGAGGGAGGAGTAGACCCCCTTCCTGATCGTCGTCGCCTCTTACGCTCGCTCAGAATTGGCGTGCTAGCATTACCTACAGCCACCAGGTCTGTCACCAAACCAAAGCTCGAGTGCTGACTGGAATTGGAATCATGAGTAGACTTTTGTTCCTCCATATAGTCTCTCAGGAACATATAGATGGCATCAGATATCTCCCCCGTAGTAAGCAGCTGTGCTGGGTCTTCCGGCATCGCCCTGAGAACAAGCGATTCGATGCGTGAACATACAGAAGTGGTTCCTACGCCAATACGTTATCCCAGTAATTGGCAGCTTCTTCATTGTCACACTGCCTCTTCACCTCAGCCACTATACCACTTACCTCACCAGCCCTAACTCCATCTACCTCTGGTCGTGAGGCTTGGCATGCATCCAACACTCGATCTCGGAAGATGCGGATGCCTGTAGGTCCATCATCAGGGTACTAGCCTTGTCTCACCATCTAGAATGACGTCGCCACTAGTCTCCTCCACATCCCCAGCTCTATCGATAGCTCTCCAGAACGAAAGGAAGTCCATGTCATCGTTATCGACCTAAACGGGCGTATCAATAACCGCTCTAAACACCACTTCTATGGTCACCTCAGTCAAGTTGAGCAGTGTATTCTTCCACCTCTCGATGAGCTGAGGTCGAGGGCATACCGAGACGTTGGTATCCTCGGCTGCAGTAACATCGTTAGTATCTATTATGTGCATGTGTGAGCCGATAGAGTAGTGTCAACCTATACCATACCATCATCAACTCTAGCACAATGGGCTGCATAGAAGTGATAGGAGAATGCTGCATTGTGGAAGAGTACTGACGGTATAGCAGCATTCCCTGCCACTGCTGGAGTCGACCGATCCACTTCTATTGGAATATCCATCACCACTATAGGAGGCAAGGTAGACCTACGATCCCCTCCTCCTTCTGCTGCTGCCCCAAAGGTCTGCTCTATAGGAGGACTGTGCATAGGGATACTTATCATAGATGGGGAGTCCATACCTACTCCCTTAGATGGTGTGGTATCTACTACCTTCACACCACTGTTCGGGCTAAACATACCAACAGGATATGATAACTACTATGACTAGCTACCCAACCAACACGAGGACCAGAGCACTTAGGAAACTATCTTGATAACACGCAGTATTTATTGACCACAGGTGGCGTCAGCATCAGAAGGTCTGCAAGAGGACAATGACAAGCAATATGATCGATTCCATAACTCACCGCTGAGTCCAGCATACTCCCCATGATCTGCAAGATGTTATTCTCCAACGACTCCTCGACGTTGCGCTCCTAAGAACAACAATCTCAAAGAAAAAAAAGAGTGCAGGGTAAGATTATTACCAATCCCTTCTTAGGGTCAACCTTGCCAGCATTCTTCACTATAATTTCCTCCTCTGTAAGCTTGGTTTCATCCTGGATCAGATCGTTGTATCTACCAGTAGCATTTCCACCCAGCTCCTCGTTCATTCACCTCACCCTTTGGTCATCTTCAATATGTTGCTCATCAGCTCAGAGTTGCGCTTATCATGATCAGAGTAGCTCCTCAGTCTACCACGAATAAGATAACCTAGCGGAGCGAAGCGACCCCTGAGTTGAGTACCTTAGGCCTTCCTGCCACTTCTCCTTATGGAGGTTGAGTAACATCCTCTGCTCGAGAGGGTTCTTCTTGTAGCTGATTGCAATACCTACAGCAGCGACGGAGTGCATTCAGCTGCATGTTACACCGCGTATGCTCACTGTAATAGTGCCTATTGAGACCGTGGATCAGAGCTGACAACGATGGCCTGTTGAGGTGGCCTATGTTGGAGGTGGTCTGTCGGGGCTCTTGACCCAGCATCAACATTTGCGGGTTGATAAGGCGGAAACAGTCAATGACGACCTTCCCTTTAACAGACTGAAACATACAGTAGAAATAGCAAGAACCATAGCAAACGGGAATACAGCATATAGGGCGTGAAGACCCCCTCAAGGCAAGTACGTGTCGATATCAATGATGTAATAGTACTACCTGGATTGGGTCTACGACAATACCCACTGCACGAGGGTTGAGCTGCTCGAAGGCTTGCTGGGTGTTGATATCAGTACCAGAGAACCAACAACCGAAGCCTGGATGGGAGTGATACCATCCCACCACATTCTCAGACCTGAGGAGGTGAACGGATGGGAAGGAGGACTAGAGGGTCCTCGGTAGCACCTCCCTGTCTGATTGAGCATCTCAAGCATGGTAGCTTGGAAGACCTCATCGATGGACTCGACTGATACAGTGTTTCCTGCAGAGAAGGAGGGAGAGCATGGGCTCGGTAAGGGCTATGGGCAGACTTACCCGACTGGGGCATAGAGAATACATCAACCACCTTTACAGTGTAGTCGTCTATGAACTCCCCCAATAGCAATCCCATGACCTCCATAGGGACACCAGCACGACCTGATCATACCACACCTCGCCAACTTCTTGATTATTCCATCATATCGCCGTCCAATACTACCATGCTTGAGCATCTTCAAGAGTGCCAGACTCGATACGAATACCTGAACGTAGCCACAGTCACTGCTGGCAAGCGCCAATATGCTGTTAGTACCTGTTCACTGGTATCAGGAAGAGTCTGATCCTCACGTCCCATCCCGGCCCCTCCACCACCGGCCAGGTTCTGCAACTGCTGCTGTAAGTTCATCATTTTGATAGAAGAGAATCCACGATAGAAAAAGTGAACTATTACTAACCAGTGAAGCAGATATCCAAGTAGTACTATCAGTTCATACACATACATCCCCATTTGCAACGCACCTCAGTGACACTCATCAGGATACACGTAAAGCGTCTCATAGTCCTTACGCCTCCTCAATGAGGATGGCATAACTCTCTTCGATCTGGCTCTAGAACTCGACCTACTCCAATAAAGTAAGATAAGAGATTCATCTACTTCACACCACCACACGAAGGAAATAATTTCGTGGCGCGTGACGCTGTGATCGAACGGTGACCATAATTTCAAGCTACATCATCTTCCCCAGTGAGTGAATCCTCCCAGTTGTTTCTCTTGTGTTCTTTTCTTCTTCTTCTTGTCCTCGGATACAACTATGGTGTTTTTCTACGACTGCTGTGACCCTCGTTACAAGGTCTATATGGGCCGAGATAAATACGAAAACGAAGAGCTACTCAAATACGGCTGGCCCGAGGACGTCTGGTTTCATGTAAGCCCTAGGGGGGATGCTAATGCCCTATGGTGACACGTAGGTTGACGACCATTCCTCTGCACATGTCTACCTGCGAAGACCAGTGGAGCTCCCCAAGATAGATGACATCCCTGAGGAGGTGTTGGAGGAAATGTGTCAACTTACAAAGAACAACTCCATTGAGGGGAGTAAGGCTTCCAAGGTCGACATTGTGTAGGGAGCTCGGTAACGCTTCTAAGGACGACTGTCCGCTGGCAGGTACACGGGTTTCAAAAACCTTAGGAAGGGAGCTGATATGGTCACTGGTCAAGTGGGCTTCCATGACACCAAAAAGTGCAAGTAGTAGTACTCTTACGTAAGCGGCTTCCGCGTATTTCCCACTACAGGTTCGTTCGTAACCTCCATCGAGATAGAGAGATCGTGAAGAGAATTGAGAAGACTAAACGGGAGGCCGAGGTTGACCTCTATGCTGAGAGGGAAGAACGGGACCGTAAGGAGCGATTGGCACGCAAGAAGGTAATACCATTCGCGAGGGGGGCAGGGACCTGTGTATGGTGACCTCTGGGGCATAGGCTGTTAAGGAGAGAGCTATTCGAGAGAAGGCTG